GGGGAAACTTTATTGAAGAAACGTTTTTTGCCCCACCGTGGCTCATTATCCAATTAAAAAAGTAGAAATGGGGAAGGAGAGTAGAAGTAAGAGGTAATAAATCCCCCAACCCCGGATTCGAATTGTTTTAGGCCCCCCACTCTTGTATAAGGCCCCCCCCTTTAAAATCCCGGCCCCCCCTTTCTTTAAAATCCATCTCACCGCGTATATAACCCCTCTTGGCCCTACGCACTTTTTACAAAGTGATGGACGAACACATCGAATCCGGTTGAAAGGGAACCTTAACCTCATACCCTTTTTACTCTCCCCTTAACCCCCCCCCCCTTTTACTTTGAAAAAGGATGATGAAGCCACTGTGTGGCGAAAGTTTTTTTCAAATTTAAAAATTCCCCTGTTTTGCATAAAGGGGTTTAATTCTTTAACTTGTCGGTTTTTTAAAAACCCTTTATCACATCTGTCAGACACTGCAACTTTATGGAAAACTTGGGACAAAGACTTCAACGCTGCCCAAACCTTTGGACGATGACCTACTTTCATTATTTCAGGGCCCCCAATAAGATCCCCCTCCTCCCCCTTCAACTCATCTCACCGCAGTTTTAAGCCACCTCCCGGGGCCCTAACTGCACTTACTAAAAGTGATGGACGAAAACATCGAAACCCGGTTTAGGGGGCTGAAAATTTCCTCTACTTCTTCTCCCTTACCCTTTTTTTCTTTTTATTGGACTTTATTTTAAGCCACTGTTTTGGCCCCAAACGTTTTTTTCATAAAGATTTCCCCTGTGTTGCATAAGTGTCTCAAATTTTTTCAACTTGTCGGTTTTTAAAAAACCCTTTATCACTTTGTCCGCACTGCAAAAATAAAGGAAATTTGGGGACAAAAAACTTCCCCAAAGCTTGGCCCCAAAAAATTTTGGGCGATGCCTATTACATTAGTGGCAAAGGCCCCCCCAAAAAAACCCCCCCTCCTCCTGCTTCAACTCATCTCACCGCATTTTTAAGCCACCTCCCTGGCCCTATGCGCATTTCTACAAAAGTGAGGGAAATGAACACTCGAAACCAGGGTTTAGGGGGTGATTAACCCCCCCCCCCAAAAATTCCCTCCCCCCCCCCCCAACCCCCCTTTCTACTTTTTAATTGGGCCGATAAGCCACTGTGTGGCGAAACGTTTCTTCAAAAAAGATTTTCCCGGGTTTATTTAATGTCCAATTCTTCAAATTTTTCGGTTTTTTTTAAACCATTTTTTCACATCGTCAGAACCCCGGGAACATCATGGAATCTTGGTACAAAAGACTTCAACGCTTGGGCCCAAAAACCTTTTTGGAAAGATGGGCCCCACCTTTTCATTTTGTGGCAGGTTTTTCCCCCTTAAAGATCCCCCCCCCCCCCCCCCCTCCTTTCTTCAAATTTTTTTTCACCGCAGTATATAAGCCACCCTCCGGCCCTATGCTGCACTTACTTTCAAAAAGTGTTTGGCTGAACACACGAAACCAGGTTGGGGGGACTGAATTTCCTCATACTTTTTCTCTTTCCTACCCATTTCTACTTTGTATTGGACTGATGAAGCCCCTGTGTTGGGGAAACGTTTCCTTTAAAAAAGATTCCCTTTTGTTTCATTTAAATTTCTAATTCTTCAAATTTTTCGGGTTTTTAAAACCCCTTCATCAAAACTGTCCCGGGCACTGCCCCAACCCTCCCCCCCCCCCCCCCGGAAATCTTGGGGAAAAAAACTTCAAAAAGTTTTCCCAAAAATTTTTGGGCCCATGACCTTTCTTACATTTGTGGCAGGTTCCCCCAAGTTCCCCCCCTCCTCCTCTTCAACTCATCTCACCGCAGTAATAAGCCACCTCTCTGGGCCCCCCATGGCCCGCCCTTACACAAGAGTGATGGCTGAACCCCATCGAATCCAGGTTGAGGGACTGATTACCTTTATACTTTTACCTCCTTTCCATTTCTACTTTTTTGGAAATGATAAGCCACCGTGTGGCCCAAAAAAGTTTCCCTTTAATTAAAAATTTTTCCCTGTGTTGCATAAGGGTCTCAATTTCTACATCACCATAGTTTTAAAAAGGACAAGCCTCCATCCTCTGCGGGGGATACATAAAACCCTTGTAATGACTGCAACAAAAATTTTTATGTGGGCGGAAAAATCAAAAAGACCTGCCCCAAAAACGTATTTCAAACACCAATATGCCCAAACAGGACTGACGATACAAGGAAGAAAAGGTTTAACAAAAATCGCTTTTTACACAAACCATCTAATTAACTACAGAACCCCAAGGGCTTATTGCCCCAGAAGACAAAAACTAATACCCGAAAAATCCCTGGAAACGATTCGTTAACTCTATAACCAAAAAATTTCAACCAGAACAATGGCTTCCCATTTAAAAAGCTGAACCACTCGCCAAAAAACCCTTTTTCATCGCTATCCCACTTTTTAACATAGAACACTGTAATAAAGTTGGGGGAATTACCGAAAATATGTAAAAATAAAAGGAAAAATAAAATGTCACATTAGTTGCACTTGTGTTTTCCTTTTTCTTAACTAGAAAAATTTCAGAAGGTCTTTCTCACAAACTTGTCCAAAAGTAAAAATAAAAGGACACAAGTGCAACTAATGTAAAATTTTTTTGTGCAAAAGTTTCGCTCTTCCCGGAGCTTATCAAGCCATTCGTTTAAAGCTGATAAAGCTCCTGGAAGCGAAAAAGTTTTGCTACAATTTAAAAGGGAAAAAATTAGTTTTCAATTTTGTCCTTTTACTTTTCAAAATTTCCGGGTTTTCTACCAACTTTAAAATTTCAACTTGTCCAAAACCCATGCCTACACCCAAGACTAAACCCCACCCTTAGGGGGGTTTAGTGGCATTCCTCCCACCTGCCCCCACATTCCCCCCGAAAAACCATCAAAATTTACTCCCCTACCTTCCCAAACCCCCGGTTTGATCCGTGTTTGACTTGAAAAAAGCCCATTGGGGGTTTAAACTTGTCAATTAAAAGGGCCCTTATACGGGAAGGTGTTTATATTTCCCCAATCTACATAAACGACATAGATGAGGGCATAAAGACGACAGGGCAAGTTTGCCGATGACCCCAAATAGGCCGTCAAAAAATTCATTCTTGACGAGGAATTCGAGCCCCTCCGGGAAGATTGAATTAGACTGATGCAGTGGTCGAGAAGTGGCAAGATGCGTTTAATATAGACAAATGCAAAGTTCTAAAATTTGGCAGGACAAACCATGCCACATATAAACTAAAATGTAGATCTTAATATTACGGATGCGAAAAGATTTGTAAGTTCTGGTTAGCAGTAATCTAATTCCAGACAACAGACTGTGCATAAGTGTTCCAATAAAGCTATAGAATCCTTGGCTTCATATCAAGAAGCATAAATAATAGGAGTCCTCAGTTGTTCTTCAACTCAACATCCTTGGTAGCTCATTAATATGCTGCACAGATTTTGGTCACGTTTACAGAAGGATATAAATTCTCTGGAAAATGTACAAGGAGGATGACAAGATGACCATTTCAAACCTTCCTATGAGGATAGATAGGCCCTGAAACTGCTCTCTAGAAAGACGTCGAATAGGGGGGATATATTAGGTTAATAAGTGAGGACAGGAACATAAAGGGATGTAAATAGTTGTGCTGAAAATATCTAGCCTAGGACTGACGCATCGCAATGGTTTTAAGTTGAAAAATTCAGATTCAGGAGGGATATAGGAAAGTCTATTTTGGTCAATTAAGTTGTGATGATGGAACAACTCCCAAGTACAGTTATAAGGCCAGAACTTGTTAGCTTTAAAAATAGGTTGGATAAATACATGAGTAGATGTGGGTGGGTGTGAGTTGGACCTGATAGCTTGTGCTAACAGGTCGTGCCGTGTTCCTCCCTTAAGTCAATGTGACCTGAACCTGACTAGGTTGGTGCATTGCTTAAGCCGGTATGGACTTGGACCTGCCTCCATGGGCCAGTAGGCCTTCTGCAGTGTTCCTTCGTTCTTATGTTCTTATGTTCTTATTGTGTCGGTATTTTATACCATTTATTTCCACAGACTTTCTATTGGACAGGTAGCATATAATCCAACGGAAAATCCATCCTCCTACATCATTCTTATAAGTCACTAATGATTTCATGTGGGTTAGCTGTATCACAGGGAGACTGAAGATCAAGGAAGGTAGTGCAGCAGCTGTCAGCGTGTAAGATGAGAAAGGTGGTTATCTAGGTTATCCTAAGTAATTTACTCTATGTATGATAATTGAACCTATGCCCTGTAGCTCGATTGCTAGCACTCTCAGCTCAGATACCAAGGTCCGGGGTCGATCTCCGGTACGGCTGGAAACATTAGGACGTATTTCCTTAAGGCACCTGCTGCCCTGTGCACCTTTCAGTAAATGGGTACCTGGGTGTTAGCCGACTGGTGTGGGTCGCATCCTGGGGACAAAACCTAATTTCCCAGAAATGCTCTGCATTACAAGGAGCTTTCTATACAGTGTTATTGATGTCAACTAAGTCTGTATAAATTGTGTCACGTACTTGTACAGTAATAAAGGAATAGAACAGATTGCCTGCACATGTCAAAGCCAGTCATAGCATGGACCAGTCCAAGAACAGAGCCAAAAGGTACCTGATGAATGTCGCGACAGAAAGGGAGGAGAATGATTTTTTTTTTTTTTTAGCTAGCACACACGTAAATGTAAATAACTCATTTTACCTTATTCCTAGTATATCTCCTTTATTGTATAATAATAAGATATTATCTCCTTCATAGTACATTAAGAAGGTATTAAAATGACCCCTATGGAAATAAGTCACTTTGTCTGACTTTTTTAGGTTATCCTAGGTTCTCTACACATATGCTGCTATGTATGATAATCAATTTAACTGTATTTATTTGTACCTCGATAAACTTACTTATTATATTACAGCTCTTATACCTCTTGAGAGTTCTTAATTAAAAAAATGATGTACCAACCATCGACATGATTATCTGGTCTTGCATATTTTAACCTCAAGAATTCATTTATTCAGATTTATACTAGAGAAAGTAGCTGCATATGTTAGAAATGTAATACGAAAATGTTTATTATTTGAGTTTTGTAAGGTAGATAATTCAAAGTCGACATTCCAGAGTGACAGGTCATAATGGGCACCGCTGAGAAGGTAAACAATTGTTCACTTCACTAATATTTATTGTATTTTGTGCAGATATTGTTCTTATTATAATGTAAATGTATACTTGGGGAAAGAAGTTTTAATGGGGCAGTGATATTTAGAAGGCTTGAAGTTTGTAGCATAATATATGGGAACCAGCCGAGCGCAAGTCCTATTTATTATAGTTTTTTATTAAAAGATGAATAAGTTTGGCACTTTCTTGTGAATATTGTCACCTCAAGGAAGGGGCTTTGATGCAGGTGAGGGCTCTGGATCCGAGGAACGGGACTTAACCTCTCCTTCCTTGGATAGAACTAGAATACCAGGCGCTTATGACCCCCAGTAGGTTTAGTGCTTTCCTCTGATTAAAATTGTACATATAATAATATTAAAAAATATGAAGACTTTATTTGGGTTCGTAATCTTGGACGGTTAATAACCTGAGGAAGCCATTCAGGCATTATTATCATAGGAAATGTCACTGACATTTTTTGTTATCCTAGCTAGGTAAGTAAGTTTATTTAGGCACAGGTATACATTTTTTTGGGTTATCTTAGGTAATTTACACTATATGATAATTGTACTTGTGTGTACTTGTACCTAGATAAATTTAGTTCCACTTATTGCACCTGGAGAACCATTACATAGTGTAGAGAACATAGTGCGGTATAGAAAGCTGAAGCTGGTAAGTAAGTTTATTCAGGTATACACAAATACAGTTACATAGAATTATCATACATAGAAGCATATGTGTAGTCTATATGTGTAGTCTATGTGTTCTATAATAGTATGTTGTATAGAGTAGTTGTATAGGTGCTTGTGGCTCAGTTGGTAGCAGCCTCAGCCCACATTGACATACTAAATTTGATCCCCAGATGAGTGGAAACTTTGGAAGACATACACTGAAATAGCTAGGAATTTAGTCGTATTGAGCATTGGAATTGGCTTAAAATAAGACTCAAAATTAGCAAAATTGCCAATGCATAAATTGTGCCTAGACCATCAACTTTGCACCTGCGTAATTCCTTACGTTTTCCATCATATTTCATGTTTTTGGATAAAGATTCTCAACCTTTTAAATGTGGACACTGTGAACACTTAATTTTAGTGGTCTGTACAGATCAAGGAACTGAAACTCAACCAGTATACAAATTTCTAATAGCCAGTGTCCAGTATAACTTGTCAAAAATTTTGTGAAAGTTAAAAACCAAAGCCAGTACACTACTGAGGAATACACAAATAACCCACACATAAAAGAGAGAAGCTTATGACGACGTTTCGGTCTGACTTGAACAGTGTAGTAAAGAAAGCGAATGCCAAACTGAAGTTCCTGTATAGACAAGCACAGTTTCTACCTACTGAGGCTCGCAGGACCCTATGTCTAGCCCTTATACAATGCCATATGGATTACGCTTGCTCTTCTTGGTACTCTGCCTTGACAAAAAAACGAAAGATAGACTGCAAATTACCCAGAACAATATCGTAAGATTCATCCTGGGGCTGGGACCAAGAGAACATGTAGGCCAGGAAGAATTACAGCAGTTGGATATGCTGAATGTTGAAGACAGAGTAAAACAACTGAAGCTAATCATGTTTATAAAATTGCTCACAAACTAATGTCCAGGAATATCTTGCTGTCAATTTTGTCAAGGTTGGGAACCAAAGCAATCATAGTACTAGGGGGAGAGAGCACAACTTTGTAGTACCCACAGTCAGTGGCCAGGCTTCAAAACACCTTTTATTGTACAGCAATAAGGATGGAACAGACTACCCCACATGTCAAAGCCAGTCATAGCGTGAACCAGTTCAAGAAGAGTGCCAAAGGTGTTGATGAATGTAGCTACAGAAAGGGAGGGGAATGATTTTCTATTTTTTAGCTAACATACGTGTAAATTTTACCTTATTCCTTGTAATGACCCTCGTATTGTAGATAGTCTTAATGACCTTGATGTAGCAGATAGTCTTTTTAGTATGATAATAAGATGTTATCTTCATTGTAGAATAATAAGAAAATATTATAACCTTTATACTATAATAATAAGGTAAAAGGACCCCAATGGAAATAAGTCACTCTGTCTGACTTTTTTGGGTTATCCTAGGTTCTCTACACATATGCTGCTATGTATGATAATTCTATGTAACTGTATTTGTGTATACCTGAATAAACTTACTTACTTACTTACTTACTTACTTACTTACTTACACACTGTGGTCCAAATCGGACCGAAACGTCGTCGTAAGCTTCTCTCTTTTATGTGCGGGTTATTTGTGTATCGTTCCATTCATGGTATTGTGCCTTTTTTTGTTATTCACTACTGAGGGAGGTGAACACTTTTTTTGCAATGCTCACAGTAGATCGATAGGCTTAGAACACTGTTGCACAGCAATACAGGGCTGGAATGGGTTAGCTGTTAATGTCAAAGCAAGTCTTGGTATACAACAATTTAAGAACGGAGCCAAAATAGTGCCTAATGAATGAAGCTACAGAATAGAAAGGATAGTGATTTTTTGTATTGTAATATATTCATAATTGATTTTTTGATTGGGTGTTTAGTTTTGCATTGATTGACTTGTTAGTATCACTAAGGGTAGATTCTAAGACATCAACTATTTATACCTTTATAAAAATAAAACTATGTAACTATAATACAAGGGACCCAATGAAAATAAATTTAATCTTTCAATTTAACCTAGGATAACAAACTTTATTGGGGTATCCTAGGTTAAATTTTACATAGTTTACTAATAAAACCATTGTAAAAGATTCAAATTATATATGGGACTGAAGCCCCATATATAATTTGAATCTGAAGCTTGTATGTCCCAGGGCCAGGCTGCAGGAGTAGGAAAATTCTTGAAACCCATTAAAGGTATATCAAAGAGCAATATGGCTTATTTCCATTGGGATCCATTATAGGTTCTTCCCTAGAATGTGGCCCACAATAGTTGACTACAGTGGAACCTTGGTTTTCATAGGCCCTAGTTTTTGTACGATTCGGTTTTTGAAAACATTTTTCTTCAAAATTTTGTCCCCGTTTTCATACATTCGCTCAGTTTTCGTACAGTTGGAAATAGTCCGTACCAAACTCGCCCACCTGCCTGCGGTACTCAGCCAATCATTTCCCAGAATCGAGTGCCCACACAAAGCATCCCATGCATTCGTGATTTTCAAAGGTTTGAGGCTGACCCTGATAACCCTATGCCTGTTGTGGAATCTATTGTGTCTTTGGGGAAGTCCATGGGGTTGAATTGAATGTGAGTGGCCAGGATGTGGAAGAGTTGGTGGATGACCACAGGGAAGAGCTCACCACTGAAGAGCTGCAAGACCTTCAACTGGAACAGCAACAGACTGCAGCTGAAGAGATTGCTTCAGAGGAGGAGGAAGAAAGAGAGGAGAATGTGCCTTCTTCAATGATTAAGGACGTGTGCAAAGTGGAATGAGTTGCAAAGTTTTGCGGAGAAACATCACCCTAACAATGCTGTTGCAAACCGTGTCTGCAATATGTTCAATGACAGTGCCTTGTCCCATTTTAGGCATATCTTAAAGATGCCAGAAGCAGACCTCTCTAGACAGATTTTTTGTGCGACAGGGGTCCAGTGACTCTGAAGCTGGTCCTAGTGTCAGTAAAAGACAAAGAAGGGAAGTAACCCTGGATAGGGCCTTGATACCTGAATTCCTTGTGGATGGGGATTCTTCTTCCAAACAATAACCTCTCCTCCTCCCTCTCCCCTCCTCGCTGTCTTCTATACGCCAACAAGAGTCTTCAATAACGTTAAAAGTGATGTTAAATGTTCATTTATCCATTTCATTAGTCATTTATATTTATTTCTTATTGTTTTCTGTATGTAAAACTATAGTTATTCTCTATAAATTGTATTTTTGTTAATATTTTTGGGTGTCTGGAACGGGTTAATTGGATTTGCATTATTTCTTATGGGAAATATTGCTTCAGTTTTCGTATGATTCGGTTTTCATCAGACTTTTTCGAACAAATTAATCACGAAAACCCAGGTTCCGCTGTACTAGCATCTGTTTACTGCTAGGTAACAGACAGCAGATGTTAGAAGCCTTATGTCATTTCTTGCCCATGGCTTGACCTCAGGTACTGTTGGTTATGAGTGGAACTCTACCATTGTAATAAGAATTTCTTTAGTGATACCTATTTCTTTTCCTATAATAGATGGAAGTTGAGAACAAAAAAGGCGAGGGCTACAAGCCATATTATACACACAAGACAGAAAACCTGCAGGTAATTATATCAGAAAAAATGCAGGATCTTAGACGACTCCAGGCTCAACGCAATGAACTTAATGCTAAAGGTAAATTCTTGAGTAATATTTTAGGCATTGTGTTATGTAGGTGTGTATGCGGTCCTTAATTTTATATTGAATATTAGCTGCTGAAGTTACTGAGTTTTCAAATTACTCTTGTCAGTGAGTTATCTATGTAATATACAAGTTTGTTCAGTTCAGATTTAACCACAAGTTATTCAGCAACTGATTTAGATTTATTTTAGGCTAGACTATATTATATTAGGTTAGGGTAGAATTCAGAGAAATCACTGAATTTCCAAGTCACCGACTTCTGTGAGGTATCCAGGAGGCAAGTTCAGCACCTTGGTAAAAAATGGCGACGAGTTATCCAGCAACATAAATGCATTAATTTATTAATATCATTGTATAGTCATGTACATTATATATTCTTTATTCCTTGATATTTGATGTATCATTTTAGTACTGTATTTCTGTACTTAATTAAATACATATTTTCCTCATTTGTTTTGGTAGATTATTATACAATATTGAAATATTTTTCAGAACAGTAATGTATATGACATTGTTAACGTAAGATCATGACATAATAATGGTATGAGATAATGTCTTGATGTTAAGAGATAGAGATACAGTTATATGGAACCTTTATTAAGGATGTTTTACCCATGGCACTGGGCTTTATCAAGTCAAAAACAGTGTGTTATCCATGAGAGTGTATATTGGTACTAACCCTCTTATATGGGTGTGAAGCACGAGTTGTGAATGTTGCAGGGAAGAGGAGGTTGGAGGCATTGGAGGTGGGGTGCCTGAAGGAAATGTGTGGTGTAAATATTATGCAGAGATTTCATAGTTTGGAGATTAGGAGGAGGTGAGGGGGTTACTACAAGTATTATCCAAAGGGCTGAGATAGTTTGGACATTTAGAAAGGATGGAGAAAAATAGGATGACTTGGAGGGTGTATAAATCTGTAATGAAGGGAAGGTGGGGTAGGGGTCACCCTAGGGAAGGTTGAAGGGAGGAGGGTAAAAGAGGTTTTGTGTGCGAGGGCCTTGGATGTGCTACAGGTGTGTGTGTGTGTGTGTTGTGTTTTTTTGTGTTTTCGTTACGTTTTTTTTTTTTTTTTTTGCATTTTATGTTTGTATGTTTTTGTGTGTTAGTGTTAGGAGTGAGTTTTGGCATGTGATTTTTGTGACTTGATGTGCTGTTGGAGTGTGAGCAAGGTAACATGAAGGGATTCAGGAAAACCAGTTACCTGGACTTGATTCCTAGCGGTAGGAATTACACTGCCTGCACTCTGAAGGATGGATGGGGATATTTGCAGTTTGGAGTGGCCCGGTGGTCTGGTGGCTAAAGCTCCCACTTCACACACGGAGGGCCCGGGTTCGATTCCCGGCGGGTGGAAACATTTGACACGTTTCCTTACACCTGTTGTCCTGTTCACCTAGCAGCAAATAGGTACCTGGGTGTTAGTCGACTGGTGTGGGTCGCATCCTGGGGGACAAGATTAAGGACCCCAATGGAAATAAGTTAGACAGTCCTCGATGACGCACTGACTTTCTTGGGTTATCCTGGGTGGCTAACCCTCCGGGGTTAAAAATCCGAACGAAATCTTATCTTATCTTATCTTATCTGAATTGTAGTAACGGCATGCCTTTGGGAAGAAAGTTAAGATATCCAAGTGCTGCACATGTCTTGCTCATCAAACATTTGCTAAATCAGAGTTGACTATATTGCCCTACTTCTGAGAGAAATGTCAACTAAGAACCATTAGTTTTCTTGGTCATTTTGAGTGTAAATGCAATATGAAAACTATTTTCTCATTAAACAATAAATCATATTCAAATATCAGTTAAAAAATTTATAGGGTTTGTTATTTTCTTAGCAAAGCAATTTGATAGTCATCCATAAAACTAATGAGAGATTTTGTGGCTAACACAGTTCGCCTACTTCGGGAGGAGCTGCAGCTGCTGCAGGAACAGGGATCTTACGTTGGAGAGGTAGTGAAACCAATGGACAAGAAGAAGGTATTAGTCAAGGTTCACCCAGAGGGCAAATTTGTTGTTGATCTGGATAAAAACATCGATATCAACCAGGTCACAGCCAATGCTAGGGTAGCCCTGCGCAACGACTCTTATACACTGCATAAAATTTTACCCAATAAGGTCTGTGTTTTCATCAAGTAATAATTCATATTCTTTATGTAATTTAGCTATTCCTAAATGTGACAGCTTTTTTGCTTTTGCTTACATGAAAGTTTCCTTTAGCAATGCAGTTTTGAAATATTTTCTTAATTTATTATTATTTATTATTTATTTATTTATTTATTTATTTTATTAGGGTGTATAGTACTTTTTTAATGATGCTTATTATAGTTGTATTTTTTTTTTTAAGAAATATTTTATTATAGGAAAGCATTGATTTCATGCACTGGTCTGGTAGGTATAACAACCTTCAGGAGCTAGATGTGAGAGTGGTAGAGGCGGTTGAAGCTGTGGGTAAAATCAAAGGGGGTGAAGCAGCTGGGATTGATGGGATCATGACAGAAATGGTAAAAACAGGTGGGGATATAATTTTGGAGGTGGTTAGTACTTTTGTTCAATAAATATATGAAAGGGAAAGGTACCTTGGGATTGGTGGAGAGCATGCATAATTCCTTTGGTTACACAGCCATACACAACTGTAGGCCAGATCAACAAGGGGGTGGCACAGCTATATACTACTCAGACCAACTAGAGTGTATCAATAATACTTGCACAAGGGATGAACATGGGGAATATATAATAGGTAAATTCAAATCCAAATACTTTCAAAAGCCTCTCACAGTGATAAACATCTACAGAGTAACACAGTCAAATATTAGCCGTTTTAGTGAAAACCTAAGATGTATGATAACTGATGCACACATGAACAAAAACCACTTACTACTCACAGGAGAGTACAATATAAATCTCCTGCAAGACCAGGACCCACATGTAGCTGAATTCACAAACATTATGAGTAACTGCTTGTTGCTACCAACAGTAACAAAACCTACAAGAATTACAGAGACTAGTGTTTCCCTATTAGACCACTTCTGGACCAACACCATATTCCCTTTAAAATCAGGCATAATCACAAATAATACCATAGACCACTACCCTACCTTTCTCATAACCAATCTAGGTAAATTACCCAAGACACTACTAAAGTAACCTTCAGACTTCATAATGAGGCAGCCATTAATAACTTCACAACGGCAATGACAAACATCGACTGGCAAACTGAACTAGAAATCTATAGATACTGACAAATGTATTAATAATTTTCTAAAAAAGACCCAATACCTCTATAACAAGCACTGCCCTAAAAAAACTAAACAGATCACAACTAAGAGACTGAACAGTCCCTGGCTAACACCCAGCATCCTCAAATCCATAAATATAAAGCACCTATATGAAAAACAGTACAGAATGGGTCACATAACCAGAGACCAAACAAAATGTTACTCATCACTCCTAACCAGCCTGATAAGAAAGGCAAAAAATTGTATTATTAGAACAGATTATCCAACTTAAAAGGTGATATAAAAAGACCTGGAAACCCCTATCTGAAATTCTAGGAACAAAAAAGATTTCAGGAAATGGAACAATCAAACTAACAAAACCAGATGAACCCCTACTCCCACCAGCTGAAACAGCAAACAGACTCAATGTTTTCTTCTCCACCATAGGAAAAAACCTTGCGGGTAAAATCCTAAGCTCAAATACCCCACCTAATGACTACCTCACTGGCACCTACCCTAACACACTATTCCTAGCTCCGACAAACCCAGCAGAAGTCTCCCTTATTATCAACACACTAAAGAACAAGGCAGGAGATTTAAATGCCTTACCACCCTTTATATACAAAAAACCTTCACAAGTACTGTCACCAATCATTGCAACACTCTTTAATAATTTAAATCCATCGAATCCTCTACCTTCCCTACGGTTCTCAAAAAAGTGAGGGTCACCCCGATACATAAAGGAGGAGATCAAGCAGACTTGAATAACTAATGGCCAATATCCAACTTACCCATTCTCTCTAAAATCTTTGAAAAATTAATTCTTAAGCAAATCTATTCCTACCTCGTCTCCCACAACATACTCAACCCCTGTCAGTTTGGGTTCAGGCCTAATAAAAATCCGAATGATGTTATTATACACATGCTAGAACAAATATACACTGCACTCGAGAAAAAAGAAGTCCCATTGGGGATCTTCATTGATTTACGTAAAGCTTTTGATACAGTTGACCATGATTTGTTGCACATAAAATTATCACACTATGGTATAAGAGGGCGTTCCCTCAACTACCTAAAGTCATACCTTAGCAACAGAAGCCAATATGTGTACACAAATGGAGCAAACTCTTCACAACCAATTACAGTTGGTGTCCCACAGGGAAGTGTCCTTGGCCCTCTTCTCTTTCTCATTTATATAAATGACCTACCAAATGCATCACAACTACTCAAACCCACACTATTTGCAGATGACACTACATACATCTTCTCTCACCCAGGCCCAGTTATACTACCCAATACTGTAAATACCGAATTACAGAAAATATCTACCTGGATGATGATTAACAAACTTACTCTCAATATTGACAAAACCTACTTCATTCAGTTTGGGAACAGAACTACAGATGTTCCTCTTAACATGATGATAAACGGATCATCTATCACAAAGCTCACAGAGGGAAAATTCTTAGGAATCCACCTTGATAATAGACTCAAATTTCAAACATATGTGCAACAAATTTCTAAGAAAATCTCCAAGACTGTAGGCATACTATCAAAGATACGGTACTATGTTCCACAATCAGCTCTCCTGGCCCTATATCACTCACTCATTTACCCCTATCTCACCTATGGAATTTGTGCATGGGGCTCAACAATAATAAATCATCTCAGACCATTAATTACCCGACAAAAGGCCGCAGTCAGAATGATAAATTCCCACTCCAGGCAGCATACTCCACCAGTTTTCAAATCTCTAAATTTACTCACCATACAAAACATCCATACTTATTATTGTGCCTACTACATACATAGAACACTAAACTCGGATATAAACCCTCCCCTCAAACTTCTCCTTACCAACCTCAACAGAACACATGACCATAATACAAGGCACAGATCACTCTTTGATGCTCCCCGTGTCCATCTCGCACTATGTAAAAACTCAATGCACGTAAAAAGCCCAAAAATCTGGAATTTATTACCTGTGAATATAAAAGAAACAATGTCTGTTTATCAATTCAAGACTCTTCTTAAAAACCACTTACTCACCCACAACTAAATAAATACTGAATAACTGTATCTCATAAATGTATAACCTGTGACCTGTTTTTTTAATTACATCACCTAATAGAATACAGTGGACCCCCGCTTAACGATCACCTCCCAATGCGACCAATTATGTAAGTGTATTTATGTAAGTGCGTTTGTACGTGTATGTTTGGGGGTCTGAAATGGACTAATCTACTTCACAATATTCCTTATGGGAACAAATTCGGTCAGTACTGGCACCTGAACATACTTCTGGAATGAAAAAATATCGTTAACCGGGGGTCCACTGTACTCCATTCTCTTGAATGCACAGTAACTCATCTAATGGCCATATGACCTGTTTCTGCACTACAAATCATTGATTCTATTTGATTTGATCGGATTATATTATAAATTGTTATGCTACAAATTTGTTACTATAATGCTTCTTATTTGAAATACTCATTTGTACTTCATGTTGTAATTTGTTTACTATAATTTTTACCACTGAATATATCATTGCTTAGTTAATCTTAAGTTACTTTTAAGCCTGCCCATAATGCTCTGCTGCATACAAGGGGCTTTCAGCATGTACACCCAAATCACTATATTTCTTTGTACAACTATGTATCATGTCCAAATAAAAATAAATAAATAAATAAATAAATAAATAAAATAAATAAAGGAAAGGGGGACAAAAGAGAGTGTAAAAATTATAGGGGGTAATAAGCCTGTTGAGTATACCAGGTAAACTGTATGGTAGTTATTATTGAAAGAATTAATTGTAAGATGGAGAGTAGGATCACAGATGAGCAAAGAGGCTTTAGAAAGGGTAGAGGATGTGTAGACCAAGTGTTTATATCGAAGCATGTAAATGAACGCTATTTAGATAAAGATAAGAAGTTTTCGTTGCTTTCATGGATTTAGAAAAGGCATGTGATAGGCTAGCTAGGGAGTGATGTGGCAGATGTTGCAAGTGTATGGAAGAGGTGGTAGGTTACTGAATGCTGTAAAGAGTTTTTATGAGGTTAGTGAGGCTTGGGTTAGTGTATATAGGAGAGAGGGAGATTATTTTCCAGTAAAAGTAGGCTTAGACAGGGATGTGTGATATCACCATGATTGTTACACACATTTATTGATGGGGTTGTACTGTATATTACAGGAAAAACAATGCTCCAGTGTCAAGGATGCTCTCCAGTTCTGACTTGCTAAATTTTGAAAAAAAAAAAAAAAATCTTGCCTAAAATGAGCTAAAATGCACTAAATTTGTGTGAAATGAGCTAAATTTATATGGAACAGTGCTCAGAACTGCACTAGCACAGTTAGTTACTCTCCAGTACACAGTCGATTATTCTAGATCTGCTAAATCCCAATCAACCGTCTCTTTTCACTGTCTCAATGCGTGCAAGTGGATGTGTCTATGGCTAGGACTGTATATTGATTTGTGATGTTTTTTTCCACGCAATTTAAAAATATTTCATGCTTTTAAGCATTTATTTTACTATTTAACAGGTAGTAGATTTACTGTTATGCAGGCAACTGCAATAATGTAATAGTAATTGTATAAATAATGTCAGCTCAGTAGTGAACACGTATTAGACTGCCAGTTGGGCACACATTAGATGAGTGACATGATTAGTGTCGTCTGGAATATTAATAAAAATCTAATATTTCTGTTATTTTGAGCTTAATTTCAAGCTACTTCCAGTCCTGAAAGCAATCACAATCATATCTATTTTTGTAATAGATCTTCTGTTCTATCAAATAATACCAAGAAACTGAGAATAAAAACCTCAAAAACCATTCACACTGCAAATTCACTATTTTAAACCATACACATGGTCATAGTTTTGTATTTTCTCTCGTGGACTGTGTGGGGCAGGATTTTTTATATGGTGCACACTCTCCAAACAGACCCATCCTCTCATATCTAGGTCAAAATTTACTGCTCACAGCTTTTCTGAGTGAGCTAAGCTTATCTTTTAGTACTGTGACACAGACCATGAGCTCAAAGCCATAGTACTATAGGCACAGAACCCGAAAGGGTTAATTAATATCAGGATCATTTGAGGTGAGTAAAAATATTATTACTGGGTGGCTTGATGGTAAACAGGTGAATTAGGCTACTCATAGTATCCATAGACCATCCGACTCCATTGCCTGATTTACCTTAGCCTGTCTTAGACTGCCAGACCCCTGGCAGTCTTCAAGCTGGCACTGGACAAGCACCTAAAGTCGGTTCCTGACCAGCCGGGCTGTGGCTCGTAAGTTGGTTTGCGTGCAGCCAGCAGTAACAGCCTGGTTGATCAGGCTCTGATCCACCAGGAGGCCTGGTCACAGACCGGGCCGCGAGGGCGTTGACCCCCGGAACTCTCTCCAGGTAAACTCCAGGTATACAAAATATTTTACATGATTCATTATTGGGTCATATACAGGAGCTTAGATTGCTGTCTAGCATCAAAACACTTTTTTTAGGCTTAGGTTGAGGCCTATGAGCAATGTTACTTTTGGCCTCCAAGATGCTGGGTAAATTTTTTACTCATTTTTTAAAAAATAGCATCTTCGATGCTGCAAAATACGGTAAATGCTAGGGTGTTAGAGAGAGGTGGGGGATTAAAATATGTGGAATTGAATGCAAAATGGGAGTTGTCGCAGTTGCTTTTTGCTAATGACACTGTAGGAAGGTATGTAAAGAAATGAAATTAAAAGTAAACAAGAAAGAGCAAGGTGATGAGGGTAACAAACGAGTTAGGTAATGACAGATTGGATATCATATTGGGAGGCGGGAGTATGGAGGAAGTGAATGTGTTCAGACATTTGGGAGTGGGCTTGTTAGCAGATGGGTATGTATATGAAAGACAAAGTTAACCATAAAAATGATGAAGGGAAAAAAGGTGGGTGGTGCATTGAGGTATCTGTGCAGACAAAGAATGTTATCCATAGAGGCAAAAAGAGGAATGTGTGTGAGTTTTGTGGTACTAAAACTTATATAGGTGTGAAGCATGGGTTGTGAATGTTGTTGTGAGGAGAAGGATGCTGTAGTCAGTGGAAATTGTCTGAGGGCAGTATGTGGTGTAAATATTATGCAGAGAATTCATAGCTTGGAGATTAGGAGGTGAGGAGTTACTAAAAGTATTATCGAGAGGGCTGAAGAGGGGTTGTTGAGGTGGTTTGGACATTCAGAAAGGACTGAGCAAAATAAGATGTCTTTGAGGTTGTATAAATCTGTAGTGGAGGGAAGGCAAGGTAGGGGTTGCCTTAGGAAAGGTTGGGTAAAAGAGGTTTTGTGTGTGAAGGGCTTGGACATCCAGCAGGTGTGTGTGAAAGGGTGTTAGATAGGAGTGAGTTGAAGCAAATGGTTTTTGGGACTTGACGAGCTGTTGGAGGGTGAACAAAGTAACGTTTTGTGAGGAGATTCAGGAGAAACCGGTTAGCTGGACTTGAATCCAGGAGGTGGAAAGTATAGTGCTTGCATTCTAAAGGAGGGACATCTGAACTGTAGTATCAGTGTTTTTTTTTTTTTTTTTTCAACAAGTCGGCCGTCTCCCACCGAGGCAGGGTGACCCAAAAAAGAAAGAAAATCCCCAAAAAGAAAATACTTTCATCATCATTCAACACTCCCACCACACTCGCACACTATCACTGTTTTTGCAGAGGTGCTCAGAATACAACAGTCTAGAAGCATACACATATAAAGATACACAACATATCCCTCCAAACTGCCAATATCCCAAACCCCTCCTTTAAAGTGCAGGCATTGTACTTCCCATTTCCAGGACTCAAGTCCGACTATATGAAAATAACCGGTTTCCCTGAATCCCTTCACTAAATATTACCCTGCTCACACTCCAACAGATTGTCAGGTCCCAAGTACCATTCGTCTCCATTCACTCCTATCTAACACGCTCACGCACGCTTGCTGGAAGTCCAAGCCCCTTGTCCACAAAACCTCCTTAACCTCCTTTACCCCCTCTCTCCAACCCTTTCGAGGACGACCCCTACCCTGCCTTCCTTCCCCTATAGATTTATATGCTTTCCATGTCATTCTACTTTGATCCATTCTCTCTAAATGACCAAACCACCTCAACAACCCCTCTTCTGCCCTCTGACTAATACTTTTATTAACTCCACACCTTTTCCTAATTTTCACACTCCGAAATTTTCTGCATAATATTTACACCACACATTGCCCTAAACAGGACATCTCCACTGCCTCCAACCGTCTCCTCGCTGCTGCAATTTACCACCCAAGCTTCACACCCATATAAGAGTGTTGGTACTACTATACTTTCATACATTCCCTTCTTTGCCTCCATAGATAACCGTTTTTTTGACTCCACATTACCTCAACGCACCACTCACCTTTTTTCCCCCATCAATTCTATGATTAAATCATCCTTCATAAATCCATCCGCCGACAACGTCAACTCCCAAGTATCTGAAAACATTCCTTCCTCCATACTCCTCCTCCCCAATCTGATATCCAATTTCTCTTTATTAAAAACATTTGACACCCTCATCACCTTACTCTTTTCTATGTTCAAATTTCACCTTTCTACCTTTACACACATTCCCAAACTCATCCACTAACCTTTGCAATTTTTCTTTAGAATCTCCCATAAGCACAGTAAACATCAGCAAAAAGTAACTGTGTCAATTCCCATTTTGAATTTGATTCCCCAAAATTTAATCCCACCCTTCCCCGAACACCCTAGCATTTACTTCCTTTACAACCCCATCTATAAATTTTTAAACAACCATGGTGACATTACACATCCCTGTCTAAGACCTACTTTTTACCGGGAAGTAGTCCCCTCTCTTTTTACACACCCTAACCTGAGCCTCACTATCCTCATAAAAACTCTTTACAGCATTTAATAAATTACCACCTATTCCATATACTTGCAACATCTGCCACACTGCTCCCCTATCCACTCTATCATATGCCTTTTCTAAATCAATAAATGCAATAAAAACTTCCCTACCTTTATTTAAATACTGTTCACATATATGCTTCAATGTAAACACTTGATCTACACATCCCCTACCCACTCTGAAACCTCCTTGCTCATCCGCAATCCTACATTCTGTCTTACCTCTAATTCTTTCAATTATAACCCTACCGTACACTTTTCCTGGTATACTCAGTAAGCTTATTCTTCTATAATTTTTACAGTCTCTTTTGTCCCCTTTCCCTTTATATAAAGGGACTATACATGCTCTCCGCCAATCCCTAGGTACCTTCCCCTCTTTCATACATTTATTAAACAAAAGTACCAACCACTCCAACAGTATATCCCCCCTTGCTTTTAACATTTCTGTCATGATCCCATCAGTTCCAGCTGCTTTACCCCCTTTCATTTTACGTAATGCCTCACGTACCTCCCCCACACTTACATTCTGCTCTTCTTCACTCCTAAAAGATGGTATACCTCCCTGACCAGTGCATGAAATTACTGCCTCTGTTTCTTCTTAACATTTAAAAGTTCCTCAAAATATTCTCGCCATCTACCTAATACAGTGGACCCCCGCATAACGATCACCTCCGAATGCGACCAATTATGTAAGTGTATTTATGTAAGTGCGTTTGCACGTGTATGTTTGGGGGTCTGAAATGGACTAATCTACTTCACAATATTCCTTATGGGAACAAATTCGGTCAGTACTGGCACCTGAACATACTTCTGGAGAGAAAAAATATCGTTAACCGGGGGTCCACTGTACCTCCATCTCCCCATCTACTAACTCCCCTACTCTGTTTTTAACTGACAAATCCATACTTTCCCTAGGCTTTCTTAACTTGTTTAACTCACTCCAAAATTTTTTCTTATTTTCATTAAAATTTCTTGACAGTGCCTCTCCCACTCTATCATCTGCTCTCCTTTTGCACTCTCTCACCACTCTCTTTACCTTTCTTTTACTCTCCATATACTCTGCTCTTCTTATAACACTTCTGCTTTGTAAAAACCTCTCATAAGCTACCTTTTTCTCTTTTATCACACCCTTTACTTCATCATTCCACCAATCACTCTTCTTTCCTCCTGCCCCCACCCTCCTATATCCACAAACTTCTGCCCCACATTCTAATACTGCATTTTTAAAACTATTCCAACCCTCTTCAACCCCCCCACTACTCATCTTTGCACTAGCCCACCTTTCTGCCAATAGTCGCTTATATCTCACCCGAACTTCCTCCTCCCTTAGTTTATACACTTTCACCTCCCTCTTACTTGTTGTACCTCTAGCAAAATAGTAATTGGTGTGAATGATAGTAAAAGTGTTTCTTGTTCAGGTCACCCCACCTTGGTGAGTGATGACCAGTGTGTTAAAAAAAAAAAATCATAGTGTACCACTCTTGATACTTCAATTTTGTCTTGTATCTTAGTTACTGAGATCTTCACCCCACTAGGTTGATCCATTGGTGAGTCTGATGATGGTGGAGAAGGTACCTGATTCAACCTATGAGATGGTTGGTGGCCTTGATAAACAAATCAAGGAAATTAAGGAGGTTATTGAGCTGCCTGTCAAACACCCAGAACTTTTTGATGCCCTGGGAATTGCTCAACCTAAGGGAGTGTTGCTATATGGTCCTCCAGGAACAGGTAAGTTAATGCTTGTTATTAGCCAGAACGTTAAATAAAAATCTGACATTTGTAAAGACAAAATATTGCTCTAACAAATGCATAACTATTTTGAACATGATTATTTGATAGCTTTATAAAGCATCCTCCTAACCCTACCAGTAGCCAGTATTCAAAACTATTATGGTGGCACATAATGGATCCAGGAATTGTGGTTGCAAAGTTTTGTCACCTAAGAAAGCTACAGTAGTAATAATTGGTTTACAAGAATAATGGGTTCATTCACACACACATGATAAAAAAAATACACAGTATCACTGTACATCATTTCATTCATAGTATGGTATTATTAATTTTGAGGAAAGCAGAGATAGCTCTTTTTTTAGAATTCTCCCAAATAAATTTGAAAAATATTTTTTAAACTTGGAATGATCTTGGAAATTCTGAGCAAAAAATGGTGGCTGTTAAGTTGTAGAATATCTACCTTATTTTAAATTTGCATAGCCTATATAAGAGAAATTAAATGGTTTATTTTAATTATCTGTGTAAGTTATTCTATGCCAACTAAGAAGGCTTGATTATTATTATTTTCAACATGTTGGCCATCTGCCACCAAGGCAGGGTGACCCCAGAAAAGAAACACTTTCATCATCATTCACACATAATCAGTCTTTGCAGAAGTGCCCAGATACAACAGTTTAGATGTTGCTCCAAACAGTCAATATCCCAGACCCCTCCTTTCAAGTGCAGGCATTGTACTTCCCACCTCCAGGACTCAAATCCAGCTGTCTCAGCAAGGCAGGGTGACCCGAAAAAAAGAAACACTAATAAAGTTTTTCTTCTATCTACATTTAGTAATTTATACAGAAGGGGTCTTGCTCTTGGCATTTTAGTTACCTCTTATGACACTTGTGGCTTAGGGAGAAGGGATTTTTCTCCATTACCCCATGGAGAATTATTATTAGTACTGCATTCATGGGGAGTGCTAATCCCATAGGGGTCATATAGTGCCTGGAGAGCTTATTAATAAGTAGCCTTATCTACACACCTGTAAAACTTAGCTTTTCTGCAAGTTTCAGTACTATTATCAGTAATGCTGAATCAAACCTTTCAGGTAAAACTTTGCTAGCTCGTGCAGTAGCCCATCACACAGACTGTACATTCATCCGTGTCTCAGGCTCAGAGCTGGTTCAAAAGTTTATTGGTGAAGGCTCAAGAATGGTTAGAGAATTGTTTGTGATGGCCCGTGAGCATGCCCCATCCATTATATTTATGGATGAAATAGACTCTATTGGATCTTCTCGTATTGAGTCGGGTAGTGGTGGAGATTCTGAAGTACAACGAACAATGTTGGAGCTTTTGAATCAGCTAGATGGCTTTGAGGCTACTAAAAACATTAAGGTATGAATGAACTTGTTTCTCCAAAACTTGCATATACTATTCCTAACTCGTATTTTTTATTTATTAGAATTTAAACATTATTTACTGTTTTGCCCATATTAGACAAGTATGAAACTTAAACATATTGGGTTTGTATATTAGCATATTAATTTCTAAAATCTGCATGTATCTTGTAAGTCCAATAGGGCTTCTTGGATGAATGCAGTAATTGTAAATGATAGTTAAATTTTAAATAAATAATAAGATAGTGATTGGCAAGATTAATAAATGGAGAATATTTTGGAATGCGGTGAGAAGTGTGATATTCAGTTGTAAAATGATGTTTAATTATTTATAGTGGATGGTTTTGTGAAGTGCAAGATGCACAGGAAGAACAAGTTAAAATATTTCTAAGCTGTTAGCTTTAGTGCTTTTATATGAGTATATTAATTTTCTGCTGCTGGTAATAAAAGTATATAGGCTACATAGGCAGTAAAATCTTAATATATATATATATTAAAATAGTATAGTAAAAAAAAGAGTTATATGTATAGTGCATTCTGGCATACCACCTATTTTTAGGTGAAAAGGAACAGTACTGAACATAAAATACTGGGTTGATATTCTTAAGGTAAAAATAAATGAAATTAGACAGATTATTATGGCTCAAGAACACATCTCTGATTATAACATGGGTGTCTGTTAGAAAATAGGATCTGAGTTCTGAACAATACAAGTACCAAATTTTTTCAGGAATGCATTAACATCATAATTGAGGATCCTTCTGTATGTTTACTCCTTACATCAGAATAGTCATTTACACACAAATTCTTAATACAGTGGAACCTCTGTTTGCGAGTTTAATCCGTTCCACGACCTTGCTCACAACTGGATTTGCTCGTTTTCAGAATCAATTTTCCTTATTTAAATTAACTGAAATGCAATTAATCCGTTCCAGTGGAATTCTGTACTTCAATAATTTCGCTAGTATCAACTCTACGGCTTATTTATCTATCTCACTTCATCTAATATGACATAATAAACAATATAAATAACATAGAAACCTGATATGTACTCTAAAATTAATAAAATATGTCATGTAGTGGTATGGGCGGTGTCGACGGTGGACGAGAGTTTGTCTGGACACCGGGGAAAATACTTCATGAATAATTTCGCTAATATCATCTATACGGCTTATTTATATATCACACTTCATCTAATATGACATAACAGACAATATAAATAACATAGAAACACGATATATACTCTAGAATGAATAAAATATGTCATTATGTAACAGGTGGAGGAGGCCACAACCGCTCCCTCTTTCTTGTGGTAAACACTGCCATCTAGTGACGGCCTTTTGAAGCCGTCTATTATTATAATTATTATATGTAGTACATTATTATTATATATGTATCATTATTATACATTTTTTTTTTTTTTTTTTTTTTAACAAGTCGGCCGTCTCCCACCGAGGCAGGGTGACCCAAAAAAGAAAGAAAATCCCCAAAAAGAAAATACTTTCATCATCATTCAACACTTTCACCACACTCGCACATTATCACTGTTTTTGCAGAGGTGCTCAGAATACAACAGTCTAGAAGCATAAACATATAAAGATACACAACATATCCCTCCAAACTGCCAATATCCCAAACCCCTCCTTTAAAGTGCAGGCATTGTACTTCCCATTTCCAGGACTCAAGTCCGACTATATGAAAATAACCGGTTTCCCTGGATCCCTTCACTAAATATTACCCTGCTCACACTCCAACAGATCGTCAGGTCCCAAGTACCATTCGTCTCCATTCACTCCTATCTAACACGCTCACGCACGCTTGCTGGAAGTCCAAGCCCCTTACCCACAAAACCTCCTTTACCCCCTCTCTCCAACCCTTTCGAGGACGACCCCTACCCCGCCTGCCTTCCCCTATAGATTTATATGCTTTCCATGTCATTCTACTGTGATCCATTCTCTCTAAATGACCAAACCACCTCAACAACCCCTCTTCTGCCCTCTGACTAATACTTTTATTAACTCCACACCTTCTCCTAATTTCCACACTCCGAATTTTCTGCATAATATTTACACCACACATTGCCCTTAAACAGGACATCTCCGCTGCCTCCAACCGTCTCCTCGCTGCTGCATTTACCACCCAAGCTTCACACCCATATAAGAGTGTTGGTACTACTATACTTTCATACATTCCCTTCTTTGCCTCCATAGATAACGTTTTTTTGACTCCACATATACCTCAACGCACCACTCACCTTTTTTCCCTCATCAATTCTATGATTAACCTCATCCTTCATAAATCCATCCGCCGACACGTCAACTCCCAAGTATCTGAAAACATTCACTTCTTCCATACTCCTCCTCCCCAATTTGATATCCAATTTTTCTTTATCTAAATCATTTGACACCCTCATCACCTTACTCTTTTCTATGTTCACTTTCAACTTTCTACCTTTACACACATTCCCAAACTCATCCACTAACCTTTGCAATTTTTCTTTAGAATCTCCCATAAGCACAGTATCATCAGCAAAAAGTAACTGTGTCAATTCCCATTTTGAATTTGATTCCCCATAATTTAATCCCACCCCTCTCCCAAACACCCTAGCATTTACTTCCTTTACAACCCCATCTATAAATATATTAAACAACCATGGTGACATTACACATCCCTGTCTAAGACCTACTTTTACCGGGAAGTAGTCTCCCTCTCTTCTACACACCCTAACCTGAGCCTCACTATCCTCATAAAAACTCTTTACAGCATTTAATAACTTACCACCTATTCCATATACTTGCAACATCTGCCACATTGCTCCTCTATCCACTCTATCATATGCCTTTTCTAAATCCATAAATGCAATAAAAACTTCCCTATCTTTATCTAAATACTGTTCACATATATGCTTCAATGTAAACACCTGATCTACACATCCCCTACCCACTCTAAAACCTCCTTGCTCATCCGCAATCCTACATTCTGTCTTACCTCTAATTCTTTCAATTATAACCCTACCGTACACTTTTCCTGGTATACTCAGTAAGCTTATTCCTCTATAATTTTTACATATTATTATTATTATTATTGTATTATACTATTATTATTATTTTTTTTTTTTTTTTTTTTCAACAAGTCGGCCGTCTCCCACCGAGGCAGGGTGACCCAAAAAAGAAAGAAAATTATTATTATTATTATTATTATATGTATTGTTATTATTCATATTATTATTATACATATTATTATTATCGTTATTATTATTATATAAATTATTTGTAATTTTTATTCGCACAAAAAATATAAGATTTACTGTTATTCCTTAATGCAATAATTGTATAAATATGTCAACCCATTCACGACTGCATATTGGAATGGACAGTGACGTCATTTGTTTACACTGAAACAGCCAAGCAATGGACCATTTCTCTTAGGTTGAGCTCAATTTCAAGGCACTTTTCGTCATGAAAGCAATCAAAATCATTTCTATTTCTGTAATATATCTTCCATTCTATCAAATGAGACCAAAAAAACGAGAATACAACCATAAAAACCATACGAAAATACCACTAAGTGGTGGCTAATTGCTGAGAAGTGAGCTCCATTATTTATGCTTAGATTTCTTTCATTATTATTATTATTATTATTATTATTATTATTATTATTATTATTATTATTATTATTATTATTATTCTTTCAACACACCGGCCATATCCCACCGAGGCAAGGTGGCCCAAAAAGAAAAACGAAAGTTTCTCCTTTCACATTTAGTAATATATACAGGAGAAGAGGTTACTAGCCCCTTGCTCCCGGCATTTTAGTCGCCTCTTACAACACGCATGGCTTACGGAGGAAGAATTCTGTTCCACTTCCCCATGGAGGTAAGAGGAAATAAACAAGAACAAGAACTAGTAAGAAAAATGGAAGAAAACCCAGAGGGGTGTGTATATACATATATGCTTGTACATGTATGTGTAGTGTGACCTAAGTGTAAGTAGCAAGACGTACCTGAAACCTTGCATGTTTATGAGACAGAAAAATGGACACCAGCAATCCTACCATCATGTAAAACAATTACAGGTTTCCGTTTTACACTCACTTGGCAGGACGGTAGTACCTCCCTGGGAGGTTGCTGTCTTCCAACCTACTACCTAGGATTATTATTATTATTATTATTATCATTATTATTATATAAATAATTTGTAATTTTTATTCACACAAAAAATATAAGATTTACTGTGACGTCATTTGTTTACGCAAACAGCCAAGCAATGGACCATTTCTCCTAGGTTGAGCTCTATTTCAAGGTACTTTTCGTTGTGAAAGCAATCAAAATCATATCTATTTCTGTAATTTATCTTCCATTCTATCAAATGAGACCAAAAAAACGAGAATACAACCATAAAAACCATTCAAAATTACCACTAAGGGGTGGCTAATTGCTGAGAAGTGAACTCCATTATTTATGCTTAGATTTCTTTCATTTTCGGTGTACATTAAGAAGCATCTTTCCATCATACATTGCCCAAGTTTCAATAAGATAGTCCAACAAACAAATGAGATACAATTCCCGAGATCAAGAGCAAGAGCCCCTCACCAGCGTCAAGGAACCTGCCTTGAGGTCTGCTCGCTTGTGGAAATTTTGCTCGCGTATGGAAACAAAAAATTGACCCATCCACTGCTTGTTTTTGGAAAAACTCGCATGTGGACACGCTCGCAAGTAGAGGTTCCACTATATTTTAATAATGTTGATAGAATTGCCAACAGTGTTAGGTAAAAAGACACAGTGCAACTAATGTGACATTTTATTGTGGCAGTGTTTCACTCTCCAGGAGCTTTATCAAGCTGTGAATACGTCACAGTGAAGGAAAGATAATCTTAGCCTAGAGATCACAAAGATAGAGCAAAAACTTAAGCTGTTGCAGTAAACAGAAGAAGCACAAAAGGAACAAAAAGCCATCAAGGATATTGCAAAAAACCTCAAATATTTCTCTACATATGCAAAATTCAAGCTAAGGACTACTTGTAGAATTGGGCCAATAATAACAGGATGTTCATATATCTACAATGAATGGGAAATGAGTGAAATTCTAAAAAAAAAAAAAAAAAGAAAGTGCCATAGATATAACAAGGAAGGTAAACAGTTGGCAGAAGCCACCGAGAAATTGCAGGAAGATATAAGCACATTTTTCTAGTGGTTAATGGAGAATGTGACATTCAGTGGTCATAAGTTCCAGGTGCTTTGATATGGAAAGAATGAGGAGCTCAAAAGGGACACTGGATACAAAACTCAAGAGGATTATCAAATGGAATGAATAGAACATGTGAAAGACCTGGAGTAATTATGTCAGCTGACCTTTCCTTTCAAAGAACATGATGAGACAAATGACATAACAGCCAGAAATATGACAGGTCGATAAAGAGAACTTTCAAAACAAGGGAAATAGTGCCTTGGGTGGCACTCTTGGAATATTGTTCAGTATTGACAGCCCACATTCTTGGCAGGAGAGATTTCAGAACTGTAACAGATACGGAGATCATTGATGGCCCACATGGAGCCAATAAAGCATTTAAATTTCTCTGAATGCCCCAGAGTCCTAAACTTGTACTCACTGGAGCAGAGGATATATGTTAATATATACCTGGATAGGTTTATGAAGGATGAGGTTAACCATAGAATTGAAGAAGATAAAAAGGTGAGTGGTGCAGTGAGGTATATATGGAGACAAACGAGAGTATAGTGATACCAACACACTTATGTGGGTGTGAAGCATGGGTTGTAAATGTTGCAGCGAGGAGGCGACTGGAGGCAGTGGAGATGTCGTGTCTAAGGGCAATATGTGGTGTAAATGTTATGCAGAGAGTTTGTAGTGTGGAAATTAGGAGGTGTGGAGTTACTAAAAGTATTAAGAGGGCTGAAGAGGGGCTGTTGAGGTGCTTTGGTCACTTAGAATGGAACAAAGTAGAATGACTTAGAGAGCTTATAAATCTGTATGGGAAGGAAGGTGGAGTAGCGGTTGTCCCCAGAAAGGTTGGAGGAAGGGGGTAAAGGAGGTTTTGTGGGTGAGGGGCTTGGACTTTCAGCAAGCATGCATGAGTGTGTTTAGATAGGAGTGAATGGAGACGAATGGTTTTTGGGACCTGACAAGCTGTTAGAGTGTGAACAGGGTAATATTTTGTGAAGGGATTCAGGGAAACCTGTTAGCCGAACTTAAATCCTGGAAATGGGAAGTATGTACAATGCCTGCACTTTAAAGGAGGGGTTTGGGATATTGGCAGCGTGGAGGGATGTCTAGGCTGTCATATCTGAGCGCCTCTGCAAAGACAGTGATTGTGTATGAGTGATGGTGAAAGTGTTGAATGATGATGAAGTTTCTTCTTTCTTTTTGGGTCACCCTGCCTCATTGGGAGATGGCTGATGTATTAAAAAAAAAAATACCTAGAAAGTACAGGTACCATCTCGACTTACGACCAAGCTTGGTTCCAACCAACAGGTCGTAAGTCAAAATGGACGTAAGTCGAACCTTACTACTGAATATCAACATCACACTTTTGTAATGATTTTATTTTATTGTTTTATTTTGGTATTTCAAAATACCAAATCTGCACACTGCCACAACACCATACTGGAGTGAGAGATATGGGAGGAAGTGGAAAAATAAACCCAGTGAAAAACAGTGGCACTGTGGGCACAAGTAGAGAATGTTGTATCAACATCTTTGGCTCCACACTATTCAACACCTTACCAGATGATATTAGAAATGCTGAGAAGTCTTTGAGAGGAAACTGGACAGGTCTCTTCACCAGTTATCAAATCAACTAGGCTGTGATGGATATGTGGGCCACCATTAGAAGCAGCCTGGTCAACTAGACAAGCACCTGGTGAGCATGGCCTAAGGCCAGGCTCTGGGAGTCGAAAAACTCTTGAAACTTATCAATAGTAAAGATATATCAAAGGTATGCCTTTATACCCTTCTTCCCTAGTGGGAAGTATTTTTCTAGAGATGGTGCTATTATTCCAAAGTGCAGACCACCTACTTGTACAAATGTTAAAAACAAAATTAAGTTTACTTAGTGTTAACGGTTGCACTTTAATTTAATGCCCAAAATCTATCTTTAATGTACTGATCTGTCTTTGCATTTAGCTAAATCAAATGCCTCTGTATTGGATTTCACTAGTTAATGTTCAGTAAATCTTTAATAAAATATTTATCACAAACAGGTGATTATGGCAACAAATCGCATTGATATATTGGATCCAGCACTCTTACGCCCTGGACGTATTGATCGAAAGATTGAATTTCCTGCTCCTAATGAAGAAGCTAGGCTAGACATTCTCAAGGTTAGTGTGTTAAAGGTATCACAGTTCATTTTGTTAAGTCAGTCTGTTAAATACAGTCTTGTAAAGAGAATAAAATGCACAATACTGTAGCTGGAACAATTCACAAACAACTTTGTGAATTGGGCCATTATTGAATTAGGACTTGACTGGTTTAGGACAGATTAAAATGCCTTTTAGTTTTCAGCTCTAATTTGTAGGCTGGTAACAGGTACAATCTTGTTGTCTGCCATAACCGTAGATCTCGAGAAAGTGAAAAGAATGGTGAAGGTCAGGCATGCAAGAGAATGAAGGAGTTACATATTACAGTACTAGACTGCAAGAAAGAATTTTAGATTGTGTCAAAGAAGACTACTGTACTAGCATACATTGAGCAATACTGAAACTAAATGACAAATTAGGCAAGTTTCCTTACACTTGCACATGTTCACTAAGAAGTAAAATAGGTACCTGAGCATTAACCCTCTCAGGGTCCAGGCCCCCAATCTGAAACTTGTTCTCAGGGTAGAAAAAATAAAAAAAAAAAATTATTTTTTTCTATGAAATGATAGAGACTCTTCTCCAAAGGTAATGACACCAAAAGTATGAAATTTTATGAAAAACTTACGGAATTACACTTTCGCAAAAGTAGCAAGTCTCTGCAATGTTTATGCACCAGCAATTTTTCTCACTTTGCGTCCTATTTTAAGCCAATTCCATTGTTCCAATCAACCAAACTCTTAGCTAGTATGCCTTCATTCTATCGATTGAACACAAGCAACTGCAGATTTAACTATTTCAACTGCTCAGTAAATTGATGAGAATTCGGTAATTTCGCCATTTTCACACAAAATTCAAAAATTGCCAATTTAAAAATAGGATCCAAAATAAACAATGTAGACATTCCCAGCACTAAAACATTTCCTCTGTTCATTAGTTACATTCCTAGGCCTATATTACACTTGCTTTCTGGAGACAAATGGTTTTTAATACTTGACGTGCTGTTGGAGTGTGAGCAAAGTAACATTTATGAAGGGATTCAGGGAAACCGGCAGGCCGGACTTGAGTCCTGGAGATGGGAAGTACAGTGCCTGCACTCTGAAGGAGGGGTGTTAATGTTGCAGTTTAAAAACTGTAGTGTAAAGCACCCTTCTGGCAAGACAGTGATGGAGTGAATGATGGTGAAAGTTTTTCTTTTTCGGGCCACCCTGCCTTGGTGGGAATCGGCCGGTGTGATAATAAAAAAAAAAAAAAAAAATCACACAAAAAATAGAAGACTAAACACAAATGCAGTATAATGCGATCCTTTATTGACTACGTTTCACCCACACAGTGGGCTTTATCAAGTCACAAACATACTTACTTGGGTAAAGAGTACATGAGTATATATAGGGTGGAGAGTCAGGTGGAGAATGCTTGGTAAGTTGGATTTGAGAGGAACCTGCAAGGACCAGGTGAGAATGTTGGGTAGGTTGGATCTGAGAGGAACCTGCAAGGAACAGGGAGTGTGTATGTTATGTAGGATAATGAAGTTTCTTGGCAAGGGGTACAGTTATGTTGTAGAAGCCATTGTTCTTGTTGAAATTGTTAGATATACAGATAAGTGATGATTCCAGGATTCTGTGGTATTGTCTTCTTCCCTGGCGATGAGTCTTGTGTCTGTAGTTAAATGGTTGTGGAGCTAATCATAGGCTTTTTTCTTCATGCCCTCAGAATCGATAGCAGTGAGTTACTTGACGAAGAATGCTCTCTCATTGAACGAATATTTTCTAAACTTTTCTATCCTTGTCATTTTAACTCGCCCAGAAAAGATACTGCCGAGAGGAGATACAAAGTCCTCCCCACCAACTCCATTGCCAAACATGTTTCCAACATCTTTTCCAATACCTCATTCCAAGTACAGTGGACCCTCGACCAATGGCATTAATCCTTTCCAGAGAGCTAGCCATTAGTCAAATTTGCTGTTTGTCGAATTAATTTTCCCCATAAGAAATAATGGAAATAGAATTAATCCATTCCAGACACCCAGAAGTATTAAACAAAATAATTTTTTTACATGAAATATACATTTTCCTACACAAAAATGAATGGGATATGCAAAATAAACAATAATTAAATGTCACTTACCTTTATTGTGGAGTTGTTGATGAGTGCTGAGACGGTAGGAGGGCAGATGATGCAGGTGTTCTCTTGTTTGAAAGGGAATCCCCTTCCATAAAGACTTCAGGTACTAAGTCCTTTGGTGGGGTTACCTCCCTTCTTGGTTTTTTAATGCCACTAGGACTAGCTTGAGAGTCACTGGACCCCAGTCGCACCAAAAATCTGTCCAGAGAGCTCTGTTTCTCACTTGCCCTTAGGATTTCCCTAAAATGGGACACAAGAGTGTCATTGTACATGTTGCCAATATGGCTTGCAACAGCTGTGACAGGATAAAATTCATCGATAAATGCTTGCACCTTTGTAAACATTGTACACATTTCCCTAATCCTTGATGAAGACATCTTCCTGCTCTGAAGAACATTCCTGAGATGTGATCTGTTGCTGTTGCACCTGAGGCTCTTGCAGGTCCAAGATAGTACTGATGGTTGAATGGGATTTGTTGTATAGCCTTTCCAACTCGGACATACGCACTCCACTTTCGTATTTTTCAACAATCTCTTTCTTCATTTCCATTGTAATTCTCACCCTTTTTACCATGGGCTTGGCACTAGAAGCTTTTTTGGAGCCAATGGTGGCTTATTTAGCAGTTTCAAACACTAAAAACACTGGAATAATACAAAATATATCGCAGGTACATGTGGAATTGACCACAATGGCTTGTAAACAATGGCACACTTGAGTCTTGGAGTGGCTGGGCTCGCTGGGGCCAAACGCCATTAGATGAGTTTTTCACCGTTGGTAGAGCCACTTTTTATATGCCAAAGAGTGCCTACTTCCACATTGGACAAATGTGATACCACCTATGACTGCTGCACAACTCCTGCCTACGATATATAAGCTACTTCTCCGCAGATATGCTGTATTCTTTTCAAGATTGATGGACTGACCATATCGACTCAAGGCTGAGGGACTGATTACCTCAAACTCCTCCTGTTCTTCATCCTCCTCCTTTGTATGAACTGATGAAGCCACTGTGTGGCGAAACATTTTGTCATTAAAGATACCCAAGTGTTGCGTATGTGTCTATTTTATCAACTTGTCGGTTCTCTGAACCATTTATCTACAATCGTCACTTATCTATATTTAACAGTTTCAACCAGAACAATGACTTTTACAATGTAGCTGAACCACATGCCAAGAAACTTCATCATTATCCTACATAACATACGCATTGCCTGTCCCGTGCAGGTCAGTCTCAGATCCAACCTACCCAACATTCTCACTTGTCCCTTGAAGGTCTCTCTCAGATCCAGCCCACCCAGCATTCTCCACCTGACTCACTCTCCCATATATATATGTACTCATGTACTCTTTACCTAGGTAGAACTGTCTGTGACTTGATAAAGCCCACTGTATGGGAGAAGTGTTGTCAATAAAGGATTGCATTATACTGCATTTGTGTTTATTTTTCCACTGTGTTGGTAGTTTATACCTTTTATCTCCAAGAACTAGAAGATTTACTGTTATGCAGACTACTGCATTATTGTAATAATTGTGTAAATAATGTCAGTGCATTTGCGAATATGTATTAGACTGGTCATTTGGACACATATTAGACGAATGACATGATTAGTGCCCTTTGGAATATTGACAAAAATCAAATATTTCCACTAGTTTGAGCTCAGTTTCAAGTACTCCCAGTCCTGAAACCAGTCAGTACCATTTCTACTTCTGTAATATATCTTCCATTCTGTGAAATGAAACCAAGAAGCCAAGAATAAAACTATAAAAACCATCTGAAAATGCACTGCAAAGTTGCTATTTTAAGCCATATACACAGTTACAGTTTCGTTTTTTCCATCATGCACTGCATGGGACAAGTTTTTTATATGGTGCACACTCATTGCATAGACCTATTCTCTCATATCTAAGCCAAAATTTACCGCTCACAGCTTATCTGAGCTGAGCTCATCATGTAATTCTCTGGCACGGACCCTGAGCTCAAAACCATAGTATTACAGTACAGACACTTAAAGAGTTAAACAATCATTGAATGTTGGATCCTGTGGGGTAAAGGTTGGGGTTAGTGCTGTATACCTTAATAAGGCTAGGCTTGAGATGAGCTGAAGCACGGGACAAGCTACAAGAATGGTTGAACTAGTAGCTACTAAGCCAACCCCACTAGATAGGAATGTCCCTAATTTAATTCCTTTCTAAGTCCATACTCTTCTTCCTGGACTAAACAACATATTTTTGAAACATTCTCAGTAAGTTTTCAACCTCTTCAACCAAGTCACTGCCTGTTGCTTGATTTGTATGAGATGTTAGAGACTAGTCAATCTATGTGATTTACTTCTAAGTAGATGCCTATAATGAAAATGATGAAAGATGCTTTATTACAAATTAATTATGATACAGTAATTATATTATTTATACTAAACTTTTTACCTTAACATTTCAGATACACTCTCGTAAGATGAATTTGACGAGAGGAATAAACTTGCGCAAGATTGCTGAGATGATGCCAGGAGCATCAGGTGCTGAGGTGAAGGGGGTGTGCACAGAAGCGGGAATGTATGCTCTCCGAGAACGTCGTGTTCACGTCACCCAGGAAGATTTTGAGATGGCTGTTGCCAAGGTGATGCAGAAGGACAGTGAAAAGAATATGTCTATCAAGAAACTGTGGAAGTAAAGGAAAATCTCCACACTTGAATATGTTTAATAGGTCATTTGAAGCTAATTTTACAGAACTATACTGCACTAGTGAGTCAGTGATACTTGGGATGGTGCATCACAGCTGTTTATTATAAGCAGTTGTATTTTATGTACCAGTATCTCTAGAATGGTTCAGAAAGCGTATCAGACCTATTTATTGTATATTTCATTATAGCTGCGTAAGGTTAGTTTTGTGCTTTGTCTCAGAATTGTTTTACAGGTTCTGTATATCAAACCTCAAATTTTACAATTATTTTGTTACATAATTGGTTAATGATAACTTTAGGAAATAAATTTTTGATAAAACTATGGCTCTTTACTTAACATATCATTAATTTTTTAATATATGGTAATTAAGTATTTAACCCTTTAACTTGCACGGCATTGATCTATGCATCTCTGCTAGTGCTCTGAATATTTTGAAAAAAAAAATATTACAGTAGGACCCCCGTATCCATGGAGGATATGTTCCAAGGATCTGTTGTGGTTACCAAAACTGTGGATAGTAGCAAATCCTATATATAACTCCCATACATCTTTCAACAAACTGGCCATATTCCACCAAGGCAGGGTGGCCCAAAAAGAAAAATGAAAGTTTTGCCTAAAGTGTGCAGACATCAGAATTCAAGTGATCAACCAAGAAATGCTAAACCCATTGGGTCTTACAGTGCCTGGAGAATGGGAGACAATCTTATTTGATCTGAAGAAGGGGATCCGATCCTTCAAGGTTCCATGACACTGGTGAAGGGCTTTTGATCTAAGGAATTGGACCTGACCTCCCTCTCCTTGGATTGAACCTGACTGCCTCCCATACCCCAGGTGCTGTATGAGACGATGAGAAGAAAAACGAGGAATTCACCAAAAGTTCCTTTTGTAAAAATAACCTACAAACCTTGCAACAAAAAGAAAACTGATGAACTCGCCAAATGTCCTTTTTGAGATCACCTATAAATGTTTGCAACTATCTCAGTAAAAACCAAACAATTTTGAACGAACTGGTCTCATTTTAAAGACTGATGAACATTTTTGTATAGAAAATGCAATATCACCCGCTACGCATTTTTTGCTCACCAGCGAGTTTTTTTTTCTTCTCAGTGCCACGTGTCCCTCATGGGTTTAGCATTTTCCTCGATGAATATAATAATGGAAGGCGAGGGTAGTGCCAGTGCCTTGGATTGTGAGCTCTTTACCACCATCAAGGCACCCTCTTCGAAGGATCAATTTTATTTAACAAATTGAGATGCTGTAATGGTTTTCCTATGATCATTAAAGCATGGTTCATCCAGTCTTGGAATCTAGTTGACTCCCATCTTATCTGTCTGTAGTACAAAACTTACTGGTCTATGATGAATAAAATCAAATGTTTAAAGAATACACTGCATATATATAATTATGTTTAATGTTATTTGCTCCAAGTACAAAAAAGTCTAACTATAAAATTTTCGACCATTAAATTTCTCAAGTTATTACCAAATGATGAGAATATACACACAGTACAAACAAAAATAAAACTGGCTCAGTTTCTTCGCCTTCTAACTCTAGATATTCTCCAAGCATTGGGTTCTTCGTACTTGTTATATAGGGGCTCGAGTCTTTGGTTCTTTTTATATTTGCTAAGTTTGGTTGGGTCTCCCTGCTTAAAGAAGGATGGGGCAAACTCAACCAGCCACTTGGGATCTATGGTTGTCACTTCGCGCATATACTCCTTCGTTGTCTGCACCAGTTCATGGTACACTACCCTGAAAGAAACAATGAATATGTTAGAGAACAGCAGCACTTTTTTTTTTTTAATATTTTATTAACTAAAATGCAACACTTGCCTATTCTGGTGGTCTGTATGTTCCAACCAGGTTTGGCGCATTTTTGCAAATGTATAATAATATACGGGGTTCCCAACTAACAAATGAGGTTCATTCCTGGGATTCCAACTCATGTTTGTAACAAGGAATTGTTTCTGACAGAAAACAATAGTACTAAGGATCAACTCAGAATAAGGAGGATTCGATACCATGGTAAGCCAGTGCGTTAACCAGAATAACTAGTACAGTAGGGCCCCGCTTTATGGCGTTTCGACTTAAGGCATTCCGCTAATACGGTGATTTCAAATTACGACCCAAACTCACTATACAGCAACTCATCTTTCTAATATGGCACACCCCACCCAGTTATTTACATTCTCCATGAGCACATCTCTCTATTATGTCTGGAAACTTTCAAAAATTTCAAGTGTTTTAAAGTTCTGGATATTTAATATGTACTCTGATGATAATAATACTTATGTGTACCTGTACCTAAATATACTTACACACCGCTGGCATGCAGGTACACATTAAAATCACTAAGAGCATCCCTCTAGTCTTAACTCCATAGTAATACTAATACTGTAGTACAAAATAATAATCACTCTTGGGCACATTAAATATCTTATTTTACATTAATATAGACATTTTCATTAATCCATCTATGATATTTTCTTCAAAATTATATAAGAAACACGTTACATAGCATATAAACATGCTATGTTTATATGCCATGGAGGTGTGGTAGCCAGACGGATGGAAAACATTACGTTTTCTCTGGTTCAGCACCAGAGAAAATGTGTATGAATCTGCGTTTGGCCCAGTCACTCCCTTCACATTCCACTTTTGTTTATAATTATCAGCATGAATTATTATCGTTACTTCTCCCTTCATTCATGATGGCACGTAAAGGTAGTTGTTAGAAACGATTAAACTCAATGAACAATGTATGTCGATGGTAGTAATATGGCTCTGGGCCGCATTAAATATCCTATAGCTATGTACCGGTTACCTACACTGACTTCCTACAAATAAATACTACTCGCCTCTTATCCTACATTCAGCTAGACTACACATTTTAAGGTAAATAATGAGTACTGTATGTATATTTTATCTCTCTGGGCTGATTTAAATATTGTATATTAAGTTTGGGACGGGGAACCAGAGCTACCTACACCTGACTTCCTACGAATAAGTACTACTCACCTCTTGCCCAACATTAAGACTATAAATATTTTAAGGTAAGTAATGAATGTACTGTGTATGTATTTTACTTTTTATTGTATTTTTTAATGCCTAGTTCTATTACTAACTTAATATAAATTAGTGTAAATTTGTTATCTGGACTTTATATGCATTTATAAGTGAAAAAAATGGGATTCTGCTTTCTGGCAGTGATAGCCTGGAACCTAACCTGCCGTATAAGTGGGGCCCTACTATACAAAGGAAGTCTGTATATCACATGTGCTAGTACCTACAGATCAGAGTTCACAAAACAATATTTTTTAATTACTTCTAGTGGACCTCGTTTGTAGGCAAAGATGTCTAAGTTGGGAACCTCCTATACTTAATTGCAGAAGTAAGATACTTCTAGATTATACACACTTGCAGTAAATCACTGAGCTGAAGAGACTTTTAATATTATTAATTATTTATTATTATTTTATTAACACACTGGCCGATTCCCACCAAGGCAGAGTGGCCCGAAAAAGAAAAACTTTCACCATCATTCACTCCATCACTCCATCACTCCATCAGTTTTTAAACTGCAACATTAACACCCCTCCTTCAGAGTGCAGGCACTGTACTTCCCATCTCCAGGACTCAAGTCCGGCCTGCCGGTTTCCCTGAATCCCTTCATAAATGTTACTTTGCTCACACTCCAACAGCACGTCAAGTATTAAAAACCATTTGTCTCCATTCACTCCTACCAAACATGCTCACGCATGCCCGCTGGAAGTCCAAGCCCCTCGCACACAAAACCTCCTTTACCCCCTCCCTCCAACCTTTCCTAGGCCGACCCCTACCACGCCTTCCTTCCACTACAGACTGATACACTCTTGAAGTCATTCTGTTTCGCTCCATTCTCTCTACATGTCCGAACCACCTCAACAACCCTTCCTCAGCCCTCTGGACAACAATTTTGGCAATCCCGTACCTCCTCCTAGCTTCCAAACTACGAATTCTCTGCATTATATTCACACCACACAGTTAGTTTTTTTTTTTTTTTTTTTAGTTTAATATGTTTATTATGCACCCCATACCCATCCTGTGGGCGGTAGTCAAAAGATTACAGAGGTACATAATTGGTCCAGGGACTGGGCCTCAAAGTTTTGATAGCTGAGCAAGTTACAGAGGTAATGAATTCACAATTTACAAAGGTAATGAACTCACAATTTACAAAGGTAATGAACTCCAGGTAGGTCTAGTCACAATCATGACAAGTTACAAAGGTATTTACAGATTACAGAGGTACACAATGGGTCCAGGGACCGGGCTCCAAAGTTTTGATGGCTAAAACTAGGTACAAGGTAATGAACTCACAAGTTACAAAGGTAATGAACTCACAAGTTACAAAGGTAATGAATACTGTAAGAATGGTTACTTACGTTTATACATGGCTGCAATCATGAAAAAAATTTTAGAGTAATGAGCAATTAAACACTTTCAACACCCGGTCACAACTGTAGTGAGTTAATTGGTGCAAATGTTGATTGCTGATCTCTCTCACACACACACACATACAAATTCATACACACACACAAAATAAACACACACACACACACACACAACACACACACACACACACAACACACACACACACACACACACACACACACCACACAACTCATACAAAACACATGCACACACACTCATACACACACACACAACCACACTCATACACATACACACACTCATACACACACACACTCATACTCACACACACACACAACACACACACACACACACACACACACACACACACACACACACACACAACACACACACACAAAACCACACTCACACACCTCACACACATACACACAAAACACACACACACACACACACACACACACACACACAACACACACACACATTGCCCTCAGACATGAAAATCTCCACTGCCTCCAGCCTTCTCCTCGCTGCAACATTCATCACCCATGCTTAAACACCCATATAAGAGAGTTGGTAAAACTATACTCTCATACATTCTCCTCTTTGCCTCCAAGGACAAAGTTTTTTTTTCTCCACAGACTCCTAAGTGCACTGCTCACCCTTTTCCCCTCATCAATTCTATGATTCACCTCATCTTTCACAGACCCATGCGCTGACATGTCCACTCCCAAATATCTGAATACATTCACCTCCTCCATACTCCCTCCAATCTGATATCTAATCTTTCACCACCTAATCTTTTTGTTATCCTCATAACCTTACTCTTTCCTGTATTCACTTTTAATTTTCTTCTTTTGCATACCCTACCAAATTCATCTACCAACCTCTGCAACTTCTCTTCAGAATCTCCATAGAGCACAGTGTCATCAGCAAAGAGCAACTGTGACAACTCCCACTTTATGTGTGAATCTTTATCTTTTAACTTCATGCCTCTTGCCAAGACCCTCGCATTTACTTCTCTTACAACCCCATCTATAAATATATTAAACAACCACGGTGACATCATACATCCTTGTCTAAGGCCTACTTTTACTGGGAAATAATCTCCCTCTTTCCTACATACTCTAACTTGAGCCTCACTATCCTCGTAAAAACTCTTCACTGCTTTCAGTAACCTACCTCCTACACCATACACCTGCAATATCTGCCACATTGCCCCCCTATCCACCCTGTCATATGCCTTTTCCAAATCCATATATGCCACAAAAACCTCTTAGCCTTATCTAAATACTGTTCACTTATATGTTTCACTGTTCCACACACCCCCTACCTTTCCTAAAACCTCCTTGTTCATCTGCTATCCTATTCTCCGTCTTACTCTTAATTCTTTCAATAATAACTCTACCATACACTTTACCAGGTATACTCAACAGACTTATCCCCCTATAATTTTTGCACTCTCTTTTGTCCCCTTTGCCTTTATACAAAGGAACTATGCATGCTCTCTGCCAATCCCTAGGTACCTTACCCTCTTCCATACATTTATTAAATAATAGCACCAACCACTCCAAAACTATATCCCCACCTGCTTTTAACATTTCTATCTTTATCCCATCATCCCAGCTGCCTTACCCCCTTTTGTTTTACCTACTGCCTCACGAACTTTCCCCACACTCACAACTGGCTCTTCCTCACTCCTACAAGATGTTATTCCTCCTTGCCCTATACACGAAATCACAGCTCCCCTAACTTCATCAACATTTAACAATTCCTCAAAATATTCCCTCCATCTTCCCAATACCTCTAACTCTCCATTTAATAACTCTCCTCTGCTATTTTTAACTGACAAATCCATTTGTTCTCTAGGCTTCCTTAACATACGAATTAAAAATTGCAAATTTCCAACTCATCCAAATGCAGGAACTATAAGACACAAGATTATGCGTTAAATTCTTTCATGTTTCTTTCATGACCAGAATACAAGTAACAATATGTAATTTGCCAGGGTTACTGTAAATTTTAATGATTAATGCTATTTGGGCTAATGTAATCCAAGCTCTGGGACTCTTACAACCCTTCAGCCCAACAGCAGCTCTAGGTTTCACAATTCTTCAGCTCAACAATAACACCACTATAATATTCAGTTTTCAATATTTTATAATTTTTGCTTTTACACTTTCTGGTTAGTGTTTATAAGATGGGGAAGAATGGTGTGTACAACTATGAGAATATTATTTTCTGTTTAAAAAGATTGTTTTATGTGCAAGTAAACCTTGCATGAATACATTAGTTTTACCTACCATTCTGGTTGTCTATTAAAGAGGGCTGATGAAGGATGAATATACACCACTTGGGAGTCCACTAGTGTTCTGTACCCTTCTTGAGGATCTTTCTTAGCTGCATTACGAAAGAACCCAGAGCAAATTGCCTTCTGGGCTCTTGCTACATTCTTACCGCATGATACTACATCTAATTTGTGTCTGTCAAAAAAAAAAAAAAAAAATTAAAAATCACTGTAGAAAAGTTTTTAGTGAGATCAAATAAAAGTGACTAGATTTAAAGTTCCACTTGCACAAGAGACTACTAAATTTTGCATCTTAGATATAAATATTCTGATATTTTACTCCACTAATACATGTAATTCCAGATCTTGAGTGATAGTACCTTAATGCCGGTGAAGGGCTCTTGACTCAAAGAATTGGAGCTACCCCTCCGTGGATCAAACCTGATTACCTGCCATTCCTCAGATGCTGTACAGTGGAACCTCTACTTGCGAATTTAATCCGTTCCATGACCTTGCTCGCAACTGGATTTGCTCGTTTGCAGAGTCAATTTTCCTCATTTAAATTAATTGAAATGCAATTAATCCGTTCCAGTGATATTCTGTACTTCAATAATTTCTCTAATATCAACTCTACGGCTTATTTACCTATCTCACTTCATCTAATATGACATAATAAACAATATAAATAACATAGAAACCTGATATATACTCTAAAATGAATAAAATATGTCATTCATGTGGTGGTATGGGCGGTGTCGGCGGTGGACGAGAGTTTGTCTGGACACTGGGCAAAATTCTTTGTGAATAATTTCGCTAATATCATCTATACTGCTTATTTATCTATCACAGTTCATCTAGTATGACATAAACAATATGAATAACATAGAAACATGATATATACTCTAGAATGAATAAAATATGTCATTCATGTAGTGGTATGGGCGGTGTCGGCGGTGGACGAGAGTTTGTCTGGACACCGGGCAAAATTCTTCATGAATAATTTCACTAATATCATCTATACGGCTTATTTATATATCACAGTTCATCTAATATGACATAACAGACAATATAACATAGAAACATGATATATACTCTAGAATGAATAAAATATGTCATTATGTAACAAATGGAGGCAGCCACAACCGCTCCCTCTTTGTGGTAAACACTGCGAGAATACAACCATAAAAGCCATACGAAAATACCACTAAGGGGTGGCTAATTGCTGAGAAGTGAGCTCCATTATTTATGCTTAGATTTCTTTCATTATTATTATTATTATTTTTTTTTTTTTTTTTTTTTTTTTTTTTCAACAAGTCGGCCGTCTCCCACCGAGGCAGGGTGACCCAAAAAAGAAAGAAAATCCCCAAAAAGAAAATACTTTCATCATCATTCAACACTTTCACCACACTCGCACATTATCACTGTTTTTGCAGAGGTGCTCAGAATACAACAGTCTAGAAGCATACACATATAAAGATACACAACATATCCCTCCAAACTGCCAATATCCCAAACCCCTCCTTTAAAGTGCAGGCATTGTACTTCCCATTTCCAGGACTCAAGTCCGACTATATGAAAATAACCGGTTTCCCTGAATCCCTTCACTAAATATTACCCTGCTCACACTCCAACAGATCGTCAGGTCCCAAGTACCATTCGTCTCCATTCACTCCTATCTAACACGCTCACGCACGCTTGCTGGAAATCCAAGCCCCTTACCCACAAAACCTCCTTTAACCCCCTCTCTCCAACCCTTTCGAGGACGACCCCTACCCCGCCTTCCTTCCCCTATAGATTTATAAGCTTTCCATGTCATTCTACTGTGATCCATTCTCTCTAAATGACCAAACCACCTCAACAACCCCTCTTCTGCCCTCTGACTAATACTTTTATTAAACTCCACAACCTTCTCCTAATTTCCACACTCCCGAATTTTTTGCATAATATTTACACCACACATTGCCCTTAGACAGGACATCTCCGCTGCCTCCAACCGTCTCCTTGCTGCTGCATTTACCACCCAAGCTTCACACCCATATAAGAGTGTTGGTACTACTATACTTTCATACATTCCCTTCTTTGCCTCCATAGATAACGTTTTTTGACTCCACATATACCTCAACGCACCACTCACCTTTTTTTCCCTCATCAATTCTATGATTAACCTCATCCTTCATAAATCCATCCGCCGACACGTCAACTCCCAAGTATCTGAAAACATTCACTTCTTCCATACTCCTCCCTCCCCAATTTGATATCCAATTTTTCTTTATCTAAATCATTTGACACCCTCATCACCTTACTCTTTTCTATGTTCACTTTCAACTTTCTACCTTTACACACATTCCCAAACTCATCCACTAACCTTTGCAATTTTTCTTTAGAATCTCCCATAAGCACAGTATCATCAGCAAAAAGTAACTGTGTCAATTCCCATTTTGAATTTGATTCCCCATAATTTAATCCCACCCCTCTCCCAAACACCCTAGCATTTACTTCCTTTACAACCCCATCTATAAATATATTAAACAACCATGGTGACATTACACATCCCTGTCTAAGACCTACTTTTACCGGGAAGTAGTCCCCCTCTCTTCTACACACCCTAACCTGAGCCTCACTATCCTCATAAAAACTCTTTACAGCATTTAATAACTTACCACCTATTCCATATACTTGCAACATCTGCCACATTGCTCCTCTATCCACTCTATCTTATGCCTTTTCTAAATCCATAAATGCAATAAAAACCTCCCTATCTTTATCTAAATACTGTTCACATATATGCTTCAATGTAAACACCTGATCTACACATCCCCTACCCACTCTAAAACCTCCTGCTCATCCGCAATCCTACATTCTGTCTTACCTCTAATTCTTTAAATTATAACCCTACCGTACACTTTTCCTGGTATACTCAGTAAGCTTATTCCTCGTAATTTTTACAGTCTCTTTTGTCCCCTTTCCCTTATATAAAGGGACTATACATGCTCTCTGCCAATCCCTAGGTACCTTCCCTCTTTCATACATTTATTAAACAAAAGAAACCAACCACTCCAACACTATATACCCCCCCTGCTTTTAACATTTCTGTCATGATCCCATCAGTTCCAGCTGCTTTACCCCCTTTCATTTTACGTAATGCCTCACGTACCTCCCCCACACTTACATTCTGCTCTTCTTCACTCCTAAAAGATGGTATACCTCCCTGACCAGTGCATGAAATTACTGCCTCTGTTTCTTCCTTAACATTTAAAAGTTTCCTCAAAATATTCTCGCCATCTACCCAATACCTCCATCCTTCCCCATCTACTAACTCCCCTACTCTGTTTTTAACTGACAAATCCATATTTTTCCCTAGGCTTTCTTAACTTGTTTAACTCGCTCCAAAATTTTTTCTTATTTTCATTAAAATTTCTTGACAGTGCCTCTCCCACTCTATCATCTGCTCTCCTTTTGCACTCTCTCACCACTCTCTTTACCTTTCTTTTAACTCTCCATATACTCTGCTCTTCTTATAACACTTCTGCTTTGTAAAAACCTCTCATAAGCTACCTTTTTCTCTTTTATCACACCCTTTACTTCATCATTCCACCCAAACACTCCTCTTTCCTCCTGCCCCCACCCTCCTATAACCACAAACTTCTGCCCCACATTCTAATACTGCATTTTTAAAACTATTCCAACCCTCTTCAACCCCCCCACTACTCATCTTTGCACTAGCCCACCTTTCTGCCAATAGTCGCTTATATCTCACCCGAACTTCCTCCTCCCTTAGTTTATACACTTTCACCTCCCTCTTACTTGTTGTTGTTATATAAATAATTTGTAATTTTTATTCACACAAAAAATATAAGATTTACTGAAACAGCCAAGCAATGGACCATTTCTCCTAGGTTGAGCTCTATTTCAAGGTACTTTTCGTCGTGAAAGCAATCAAAATCATATCTATTTCTGTAATTTATCTTCCATTCTATCAAATGAGACCAAAAAATGAGAATACAACCATAAAAACCATTCGAAATTACCACTAAGGGGTGGCTAATTGCTGAGAAGTGAACTCCATTATTTATGCTTAGATTTCTTTCATTTTTGGTGTACATTAAGAAGCATCTTTCCATCATACATTGCCCAAGTTTCAATAAGATAGTCCAACAAACAAACGAGATACAATTCCCGAGATCAAGAGCAAGAGCCCCTCACCAGTGTCAAGGAACCTGCCTTGAGGTCTGCTCGCTTGTGGAAATTTTGCTGGCGTATGGAAGCAAAAAATCGACCCATCGACTGATCGTATTTAGAAAAACTTGCACGTGGACACGCTCGCAAGCAGAGGTTCCACTGTATTATTACAGTTTTAGCACTCTCCCATAAATACAATAATACAGTGAACACTAAGGGAGGGGATGTACATTATTACCGACTCCATAGATTCCAAATTTTAAAATTGATTTTTCACAATCATAACAAATGGAGAAAATAAAGGCTCAGAGATGTCAAGTGTGTGCTCACATTACGCAGCAACCTCCACAATGAAAAGATACAAGATATATCTGTACATCTTGTGAAACACCACTGTGTCTTATACCTTGTTTTGAGGAGTTCCACACAGTGCAAAAATTCTTACAGCATTTGCAGCATAGTTCTGCAAGTACTGGATGGATAGGTTAGGTTAGGTAAGGTTTGTCAGGAAACAGAACAAATGTTTCCTGATACAGGTTTTAGTCATATGATACGCTTTTATTCATTGAGGCCTTCCCTGGCTTACCAGTCAACTCCTTCAAAAATTTATAAATTAGAAACTGGGTGGATTTCATTCATTTTCACGTTATTATCTACAAAATTATACTCTACAATTTCATGGAATTTTTTTTTTTTTAAATAAAAAAATTTTGTAAAAAAAAAAAAAAAAAAAAAAAAAAAAAAAAAAAAAAAAATTTCAGGGCCCTAATGCACAAAATTGTTCAGCATTTATCACATCACAAAATGACAGTAATGTATAAAACAATTTTAATGTAAATGAGGATTAGTTAACTAAATAGAGGTATGCTCACCTGTCCATAATACCAAGTAATTGCTTTCTGACATCTTGAGCTCTCTTAAGTGTGCGCATCTGTACAAAGTTTTCGTAGCACCACGCATTGGAGAATTTATTATTTTTCCATGAGTTGTAAACAGCAAGCAGTGTCAAGTGATCCCCCTCAGCTTGGTTGAACTTAGCTTTCTTCTGGTCAGCTAAAGCCTGCTTTTCTTTAGGCCTATCATTAAAATGTATCACATTAGTTAGTGTCAATACATTTCAGTAAAAAAAAAAAATATAACATATTAAAAAGTTAACCTTTTAGAAGATTTTTGAATATCCCAATTAAAAACAGTATGTATTTAAGATTAGTACTGCAGAACATATGAACAAGTATAAAATTGTGAATTGTGATATCGGTACACTTCTGGGAAGACAGAAAATAAATGAATGATGAATGTGTTTCCTACCTGTAGCACATCTATTACCCAAAGTTATCACATTTAACCCTTTGAGGGTCGACAGGCCCTCTCCGAAACTCGTTCTCAGGGTCGGCCAAATTTAAAAAAAAAAAAATTATTTTCTCTTATGAAAAGATAGAGAATCTTTTCCCGATCATAAGGACACCAAAAGTTTGAAATTTGATGGAAAACTTACGGAATTATGCTCTCGCAAAGTTAGCGGTCTAGGTGATGTTTACGCATCGGCGATTTTGCTCACTTTGAGCCCCATTTTCGGCCAATTCCTCTGTACTAGTCGACAAAAAACATGAATATTTCGCTAGAACTCCATTTTTTCTATCGAATGGGTGCAAGAAACCACCCATTTATGAAATTCAACTATCCAGTACAGTGGTCAGAATTTAGCAAATTTTGCCAATTTCACACAAATTTCAAAAGATGCCAATTTCCGAATAGGGTCCAGAATAAACAAGAAAGACATTCCTGGCACTAAAATGACATTTCCTCTGGTCATTAGTCACGTCCTCAAGGCCCCTCTTATATTCTTTTGCTTTCCACTTGAATTTTTATTCTCACAAAAAATATAAAATTTACTGTTATGCAGACTACTGCATTAGTGTAAAAAATGGTATAAATATTATTGGTGCACTTGTGAAAGAATATTAGACTCACCAGTTGACGTGTATTGCACGCTTGGCACGATTTGTTTACTTTTGAAATTTGGTAAAAATCGAACATTTCTGCTACTTTGAGCTCAATTTCAACGTACCTTTCATTGTAAAATCAGTCAAAATCATCTCAATTTTTGTAATATGTCTTCCATTCTATAAAATGAGACCAAGAAAACTAGAATACAACGATAAATACCATACGAAAATACAGTGCAAAGTCGCTGTTTTATTCCAAAAAAATGGTCAAATTTTTTTTTTCTCATTATGCAGTGTGTGCTGCAGGATTTTTTTTAGACTATGCACACTGACCACATAGGCCCATTCTTTCATATGAAGGCCTACCAGCTTTCTCCCACTAGATTTGAGGGCGCTAGAATTTAGGCGTACTAGTACGTCAAAAACCCTGGGTCGTAAGCCGTACTAGTACGTCCGAAACCCTCAAAGGGTTAATAATCTCATCTTCACATGACTTAATTATAACAAATTTATCATTCAAATACTCTAACTCCAGCTATACAACTAGGATGATGTTAAGTAGTTTTAAGTTGTAGGTTTAGTCTGCTTGAAATGCTTTATATAACCCAGAGCCTTTTAAAATTTATGAAAGAACTTTTAATTATTTATTTAACAATTATAGATGGGCTAGGTATGGGGTAGATGAGCTTAATATGAGAGAAAAACTTAGCATTTCGGAGGTTTTTACAAAGTAGAAGTGATACAAGGAGGGAGGAGTATATGGAGAGAAAAAGAGAAGGGAGTGGTGAAGGAAAAGTTTTGGAGTGAGATTAATAAGTTGAGAACAAACACCTAAGGAACGAATGGATTTGGCAGTTAAAAATAAGAGAGGAGAGCTGGAGGTATAGGGAAGATGGATGGAATATTTTAAGGAACTGTTAAGTGTTGATAAATTTGGGGAAATGGATTTCATGCATTGGCAAAGGATAACTCTTGTAGGGAGAGGAAGAGCCATGTAGTGTGGGGAGGTGCTTGGGGCATGGGTAGAATAAAAGGGGGGTAAAAGCAATTGGGATTGATGGGAAAAAGACAGAAATTAAGAAAGCAGGGGGGATATAGTTTTGGAACGGGGATAGTTTTGGAAGGGGGAAAAGATCTCTAGGTTTGGGCGAAAGCAGCAAATTCCTTTGATAAATGAAAAGGGGGACAAAAGAATGTAAAAATTTAAAAGGGAAAGCCTTTGCCCCTGCTGATAACAGTGAATGTATGGTAAAATTTATTAAAAGAATTAAGAGTAAAGGAGAACGGATACAGATAACAAGGAGGCTTTGGGAAAGGGGAAGGGGTCATGCAGCCCAAGGTTTACAGTGAGCAAATGGGGGCAGTATTCAGAAAGGGTAAATAGGTTGTTGTTGCATTTATGGTTTTGGAAAAGGCATAAACAGGCGGGAAAAGGGGTTTTTTAAATGTGGCAAATATTACAGAGTATGGAACAGGGGGGGGGGTTTTACGAAGCAAGATTTTTCAAAGGAAGTGAGGCTCGGGTTAGAGTATCTGGAGAGGGGGAGATTCTTCCCAGAAAAAGTAATTTTAACGGGATGTTAAAGTCACTATGGTTTTTTTAAAATTTATGATGGGTGAAAGAGAGGCAAATCTTGGGCGTTGGCAAAAGGGGTTGGGGATTAAAGATAAAGAATCTAACTAAAGAAGGGCTCCCCCTTTGTTTCGGGAGATTCGAGAGAAGTTGCGGGTTTGTGGTGATTTGGGGAAGGGTTGTAAAAAAAGGGAAATTAAAGTAATATTGAAAGAGCATGGGAAAGGAAAAAAAAAAATTTTGGGTAAGAAAGAGGATATTGTTAGGGGGAAGGAGTATGGAGAAAGTGAATAGAATTTTTTGGGATGGTAGGTTGGGAAACAGCAACCCACCCAGGAAGGTACTACCGCCCTGCCAAGTGAATGATAAAAAAAAGCCTGTAATTTTTTACATGATATGGGATTGGGGTATTTTTTTTTTCGTTCATAAATATGAAAGTTTTCAGGTATGTCTTGCACTTTTTACTTACCTTAGGTCACACTACAATACAGTACCGTTTTTTTATACCACCCCCATCTGATTTTTCTTTGATTTTTCTTAATGTTCTTGGTCTTTTTCTTTTCCTTTTATATCCATGGGGAAGTGGAATAAGAATTTTTTCCCTCCGTAAGCCATGCGTGTTGTAAAAGTCAACAAAAATGCCGGGGAAACAAGGGCTAGAAACCCTTTTTCCTGTAAAGTTTTACTAAAAAGAAAAAGAAAAGAAAACTTAAAGGGGAAGTCAAATTGCGGGGTGTGTGCAAATGATAAGAAAGAAATGTTTGGGATGTTAAATAAAAAGAAGGGGATGTCCTGGTTTTAAAAGGAACAAACTAAGGGGGGGGGAGAGTTTCAGGGGAGAGGAATAAAGGGGATTGTCGGGGGGTTTCAAATAGAGTTAGAGCTAAAGAAGGAGAAGCAAAAATGTTAAAGGATAAGAATGGAGGAAAAGAAGGACTATAAATGTTTTAATTAAAGGTTTATGTGAAGTAAAAAAAAGGTTGGGATGTGAAAAGTGGGTTATATAATGATAGCCCCGGGAAAAGAGGAAGTGTAGAGGGAGAAAGAGTTTTTTGGGAATTTAGGAAAGTGGGGGTTTTAAACCAAGTGTGGGAGTACTTGGGGTTTGGGGGATTTCAATGCTAAAGGGGGTAAAAATGTTTGGGGGGAGTAGTAGGTAATTTTGGGGTCCCCGGGGTAAATGTAAATGGGAACCTTTAATTGAGCTATGTGTAAAAAGATTTTTGGTAAAAGTAATACATATTTTATGAAAAGGGGAAAATAAATATAAAGGTATGATGTAGCACGTAATGAAAGTTTGTTTGTTTGTTTGGTGGATAAAATTTTTAAAGGGGTAGGCCCCAGGATGTACATGTTTTACAGGGGGCAACTGATATTTTGGATCATTATTTAGTTATACAGTTAGAGTGGGGTAATGGGAAAAGGGGAAAGGTGCAACAACAAGTAGGAAAGGGGTGAAAGTGTATAAATTAAGGGGGGGAATTTCGGGGGGATATATAAGGGGCTATTGGGCAGAAAGGTGGGTATGAAAAGATGAGTAGTGGGGGGGTTGAAGGGGTTGGGGGATTTTAAAAATCAGTATTAAGAATGTGGGGCAAAATTTTTGTGGTTAAAGGGGAGGGTGGGGGCGGGAGGAAAGAGGAGTAAATTGGAAAAATGATGAAGTAAAGGGGGAAAAAAGGGAAAAAAAGTTGTTTATAACGTTTTTAAAAGAGAGTTTTTTAAAAGAAAAAAGGGATAACGAGGTAAAAGAAAAGGTGAAGAGAGTGGGAAGAGTGCAAAAGGAAAGGGCAGTGTTTGAGTGGGAGAGGCACTGTAAAAGAAATTTTAATGAAAATAAAAAAAAATTTTGGGGATTTAAAAAATTTAAAGAAAGCCGGGGAACGTAGGATTTGTCATTGAAAAAAGTAGGGGATTAGTAGAGGGGGAAAGGGGAGGTTTAGGTAAGGGCGGAATTTTTTTGTGAATTTTTAAAAATGTTGAGGAAGAAAGGGAGGGAAAATTCATCACTGGCCAGGGAGGTATACCACTTTTGGGAGTGAAGAAGAGCAGAATGCAAGGGGGGGAGGCAGTGAGGCATTATAAAATAAAGGGGGGTAAACGCTAACTGATGGATCATGCAAAAATTTTAAAAAGCAGGGGGATATAAATGTTGGAGTGGTTGGTACTTTTGTTTAATAAATGTAGAAAGGGGGGGAAAGGTACCTAGAGTTTTGGCAAGAGCATGTATAGTCTCTTTATAAAAGGGGAAAAGGGGGAAAAAAAGAAAGAAAAAATTATAAAGGAAAAGTTTATTGAGTATACCGGGAAAGGTCGTAGGGTTTTATTGAAAGAAAAAAGGGTAAACAGAAGTGGGATTGCGATAGAAAGGGGAGGTTTCAGAGGGGGTAGGGGATGTGTAGATAAATTTTTCATTGAAGCAATATGGGAACAGTATTTAGTAAAGGCAGGAAATTTTTATTGCATTTATGGATTTAGAAAAGGCTATGATGAGTGGATAGGGAGAAATGTGGAGATGTTGAAAGTATATGGAAAGGTGGTAGTTACAAAAATGCTG